AGAATTTAATTTTTATGCAATATATATGCATAAGGAAATATATAATATTCACAATATATATATATTTATGTATATAGATTTTAAGGCTATACAAAATCGTTTTATATTTATTAAAAAAAAGGTAGCTAAACATTTGAATATATTTTAATATGTATAAATTGTAGATTTTGCAGCTTCTCGAATATTAAAAAAATGAGGAATTGTTGTGTATAGCAATTATAATAACTTAATTTTAAGTGGCGTTAGTTAATCCAATAACGCGATTAATTATTAAAAGCAAATGTAAACAAAAGTTGCCAAATGGTGCTTTAAAATTATTTAACGATTGTTTCGGACATATTAAGCTTCTTTTTTTTTGATCATTTTTCAATTTTCAATTTCAAAGAAATTCTCCACACAAATCGAGGCAATAAAGTTCCGCTGTCCATATATTATTTATTGTTTTTTTATTAGTTAACAAACCTTTCGATTTCGGTTAAACATGGCACAGATTATTCGTGTAACTTTTTATACTTGTATGGAAATATTCAATTTTGGCCACAATGCAAAGTGAATCTGGCAACAATTGCACGGCAACTAAAGAACGAGGCATCTTTGGGCGCCGCCACGGAATCCAACTTTGACACCACCCCCCTACCCCCCGCCACGCCCCGAATTCCGGCCAAGATAAAGGCGTGAATAACAGCAACAGGAACAACACCTGTGCAAAACTCAAAAGCCGAACAGAAGAAAGGAAATTAATTAAAAAATTTCAGAATGCGATCGCAAAGCAAATAGCGTGTTTATGTAATATTTGCATAGATGCACGAGATAAATTTCCAACTAATGTAAGTTCAAATAGCATGGAATACAATATAATCTCGAGCACAATTCACATTTATGGCCCGTGCCAACTGCGAACGGGCTGTCGACAGCTTTTAAGGCCCCCCGGCAATAAAGCACATTGTTAATTGTATTTAACAATAAACCGGCCGTAAAAATTCATAATCAATGAATGCAGCAGCGGTTCGGGCTGCCAATTGAACGCTAGAAATCAAATCTATTCGGATTTTACGCCCCATCGATCCCGGCACTAAATCAAAGTGCCGTAGCGATACGGAAGCCCATTTGATTGATGATGGCTCAGACCGCAACACCAATATAGCCGACACCGGTAATCTAAGATACAATAACTAAATAGGCTAGAAAAGAGTATTAATTGATTTAAATATTAGCCACAATTCTTTTTGTTGGAGGATTTAGCAAGGCTGCGTCCAGAGCTCAAGCTCACTTCTCTCTCTTTATATGAATCATAGCAAGTCATGGTTTTTAGATAAAACCAAACAAAAAAATATTATGCTTAATTATATAATTAATTGAGTATATTACACTTTAATTTTATGGCATACCCGAAGTATTTATCACAAGGCTTTTTGTCGGAGCATCTAACAGAGTTCAAGCTCGATATTCCCGTTTTTCCCCTACTATGGTCTTTAGATAAACTATATTGTTATCAACCTTGCTTAGTTATCAAATTAATTAAGCATATTATGCTGTAAGAGTATACTATACTTTACTATACATTACTTAATAAACAAAAGTACATACTACTTAGTATATAAACAGATACAGAAATATCTCAATACAGAAATATAGACTTTTTATCTGCGACGGCTGGCAGTTATTTATGTGCATCTCGGCAGGTGCTAATTACAAATGTCAAATTCCAATTTTGTGGCTTTGCGTTGGGTATTCAATAATGAATTAGTGAACGTTGTCCGATTTTGGGGATGCATCTTAACGAACTTGGGTAAGCGACAGGCACATTACTCATACGTCCCGTTGACCGAAATTCGTTAGTGCGAAAAGACAACTTCTGTTGTGTTAAAAGGGTATTCAGTATTTAGTAGCAGTATTTAATATTTAGCAGTTAACTGTGCCCCGTCTAAATATTAGGCATATAGAGTTTTTCCTAAGTGACACCCTAATTTGAATTCAGATAAATCCTTTGATTTGATTTGATTTGATTTGATGTCTCACCTATTCTAATTTCTGTGGTTATGTTTTAGTTAAAGCGTTTTAAAGGGTATTCAGTTTTTAGTGTAGGGAAATCCGCAGTTAACTGTGCCCCCCTACATATTAAGCATCAAATATTACTTATACGCTCAGTTGAGTGCAAACATTTGCCCACAAAAATGTTAACCCAATTACATATTGTTTACATCTCTTAAGCCGCCTTTCAATATGATTTATATACAATTTATCTAGGCGGCAAATATAAGAATGATTTTTTTTTATATATTTAAACAGCTTTTGGGCTTACAAACAAGTCAATCAGCAAATCCCCAAATAACCGATTCGAAAAGCTGAACTCATTAAAACAACAATTGAAAACCAATTTGGATTTTCCAACTAATGCCAAATAAATGATAAATGAGCCACGGAAATCGTTGTTATCAGTGGAGCTTAAAAAAAAAAGTCAACATTTTATATGCCCTGCGACTAATTAAAAGGCCAAGCCCGCGTCTTTTCGAGGTAACATAAATACTAATCATATGTTCGTGTTCTTTTGCTACCTTTGTTTACTCATTAAACGATAATTGTGGTATTTGAATCATTGTGCTAAATCAATCAATCAATCAATCAATTAAAATTCAATCGGTAAGCGAAACAAAAAAAAGAAAATTTGAAAAAATTTATGATTAGCACAACTTTCGGAAATTTGTATAAAAATGCGAACACAATTTGCCCGTCAATCGGTTAACAATTTTTGTTAATACTATGTATGGAAGTGTGAAAAATGTGCTTAAAGTCCGTCGGTTAGCATATTGTACTTGTATTTAAAAAAAAAAATTGTTCAAATTGACATGAAGAAGACAGAAAACCTAGATGCGTTCATATATAATGAATTTAATCCCATATCTTTCCATTAGCGTGCGCCATTTTATCTGCCTTTGAACTGTTGGAAAGATCTCTGGCAGCTTTCAGGCAAAGATCTGTGCAAATGTTTGCTCTATAAATATTTTTTCGGTTTTTTGGGGGGCAGCTTGCCGACGCTAATTGCTTCTTATCGCACACGCAAAACACTTACGAATAAAATTCTTAAGGCAAGCAGATAAATCGGTGACCCACTCGCAGCAAAGGTCAAGCAACTTCAAAGGGGGCGCCACCCCCAAAGCCGCCCACCCCACCAACGGACAAACGAAAAATAAATACATATATATGTAGAAAATTAAATCAAATTATATTTGCGTTTGCTTTGATGACGCAAATTTAGTTTCAAAAGTAAGTGTGTACAGACTCGAAGATGCCCTGTACTCAGTTCTGAGGCACGAATGTTTATGTTTATGTTTTTTTTTAATAATTCTCAGTTCCATATTTAAAACAACTAAGAGGTTCTAGTCGGGAGCTCCCGACTAGGGGATACCCTAAACCCTCTTCTTCCAAAAATAAAAGATACTTGATATATATATATATACTATTCTAGAAGCTACATGTCAAGTTTGGTGACTCTAGACTCTAGAATCGATTTTTATCGATTATTTGGAAACGGGACATGTAATCGAATATCGGAAGCAAACTCGATCTGCGCGGGCACTAGAAGAACCTACAGCTAAAATTTCAAGTCTCTAGCTTTTATAGGTTCCGAAATCCTTGCGTTCATACATACGGACAGACGGACATGGCTAAATCGACTCGGCTGTTGATGCTGATCAAGAATATTTATATCGGAGATGCTTCCTTCTGCCTGTTACATACATTTACAGAAATACATAATACCCTTTTTACCCATTTTCAATGGGTTTAGGGTATAATAATGTACTTCCGCATAGGGTATTTAAGAGCCTACATACCAAATTCGCTATCACCAGCTCTTATAGTTGCTGAGATCAATGGGTACACACATAAGGATGGATAGATTTGTAGTTAGTATCAAGTCAAATTGCTTATTAATGCAAATCTTAAGATACCCATTACGCACTGAATTTGTTAACAGGGTATAACAACAAATGCCATGAATGCCATGCCGTCAGCATTTAGAGCCAAACAAGCAACAGGAGAAAGACCAAAACAATATCAACGAAAGCTTTCGATGACGAGGCAGATTTTTGAAATATTATTATATATACAGATTCAAAGTTCAAATTATCTTGTTATTGCCACCAAAATGCTTAGGGGATTCCCTTGTAAATTCCCAATAATTAAGTATGCAAAAAAAAAAAAAAAAAAATCAACCAATCTAATGCGTATTTAAAATGAAACACGTTAAGCCTATCAACAGGTATGGAGTGTAAAAACCTGACCGCAGTCAGAGATCGCTGCGATGTGCCCACACCTGTAGTACAACATATGTATTTACCACATAGTAAAATGTCTTAATTCGACTGGTTGTCTTGCTGGCCTAGCCAGATCAGGTGCACAATCTTTGTACGTAAATACGAGCATATGATCAGGCTGTCATGTGATCGCAATGCAAAACCAAAATCGATCAATAAGATTACGAATCTATAAAATATATATAATAAGTATAAGGTATATATAGAATATGGAGAACAGTGACTAACTTTGATGAAGGGATCTATAAAAGGTATTTATAAGAATTTTTTGCAGGAATTACTTGTAGCAATAATTTCAAAAATAATAATATTAGTTCTAGGAACAGGGAAAAATATGTTATTATATCGAGCAGATTACACAAAAACTTTGCAATCTATAGTTTTTTTTTTGTCACACAACGAAATAAGGAAACACACAGCTAATCAGCAGAAGTATATTTTTCGATTCATAATATCTTTTGCTGTTGGGAACTTTATAGAATTAAATAATATTCAATTGAAGTTTGAGTTTGCTGAAATGCTTAAAGAATTTTTCGATGATTGAGTAAATGTATATTTTGTTTTTCATTTTTATAGGGCTTCACCCCAAATGAAACCCCAATTCGAATTCAGATAAATCTTTTGATTTTTACTTTCTAAATTAAAATATTTTAGGCTAAACAGTGTCCCTGATTTGTAACTTACCAGCGTGTGCGTATAGCCTAGGCCCTCCTCGGAACCATCGGGGCTCTTGTCGTGCTCGTGACCCATATTGAAGCGCAGCGAGGACGCATTGGAGCACGTGCGCACGGGGAACGTGTGGTTCGGCGAGGGCACCAGCAGCAGAGATTCGCGTCCGTTTTTATGATTTATCTTCATGTTTGAGTTTTCGTTTTCGTTTAACAAGTTGCAATATCACAATAAAAAGCTGACGACTTGAATATTAATGTGTCGCTATAATAAGTAGTTAATTTATATATTGTTTTGTATTTTCACTTTATTTAGTACTTTGTTTATTTTGGCATTGCATTCACTGTGCAGATTCGCTTGTTGTGCGATTTCTGCTGTTGCTTCGATTGACACTCGCGTTTTCTTTCCGCATTGCGTTCGCTTCTGCTGCGTCACATGTGAAAATGAAATCAAATTCCTTTTGCTTGTGCATTAAATTCAATTAGCTGCACTTTTGTTGCACCAACCAAGTCACAAGATCGACTTCCTTTGCAGCGGCAGCGACGCCAACGCATCCCAAAGCGCTGCTGCGACTCGAGTGAGTAGAGTTGGGCGCACTGTGCGGGAGTGCGGTCGACGCTCGCGCGCAGTCGCGTTCGAAAAGTTTCGCCTACGAACAAAAACAAAAAATGCGTTAAGCTTGCTGCGGCAGCGACGCAGCTCACTACGACTGCGGCGTTGACAGCGCTTATGCTTCGCGGAACTGTTGTTGTCGTTCTGCTGTTGCGGCGGCGGCGGAGGCAGCGGCGGCTTCGGCGGCTACCGGTGATAACTTTGTGCGCAACCGACTTGTTGTTGTTCTTCCTCTTCGTCTGCTTCCTTTTCTTATTGTTGTTGCCTCTTTCGAACTGCGATAGTGTGGCGCGGGGTGGTGTGGCGTTATGCGTTGTATTTGAAGTGGCGCACTTGAGGGTGTGAAGGCTTAATTAACAACGGCGACAACTGAAACTGCCGAATGTATCACAGTTTCATTATCTGCTTTATCTGTGCGCTGGATTAACGGCAAATGCAGACAGAAATTAGCAACTACTTTTTTTTTTTGAAAATTAATTAACTGTGCTCAATATTAGGTGGTCACATCCGATGGGTATTTATTGTTCTAGCCTGAAATGATAAAAATATAAATAGCCTGTTGTAAATAACTGAATATGAACTGCTTTATTAGCTATGCTAATTAAATTATGCATGAGCAAGCAGCACTCCTCACTCTCTACACACGCCACCCAACGATCGCCCACACATGTAAATGTGGTGTGAATTGGTATGCAAAACAAGTTGGATGTTTGTTAGAGAGAGAGAAAGAGAGAGTTGTGTGCGTTGGAGAGTAAGTGCGAAAAAGCAGAGAGTGTGAATTGAGAGCGCATTGCGCTGAAGGCCGTCGCGCATATGCACAATGCGAGCTGCGTGTGTGTGTGTGTGTGAAGCTTACACTAATAAACAGGATAACCGATAAATGAGTAAAATAGAATGTCTAAAGGCAACTCAAACAAAATGGAGATATATCGTGAGAGTGCGACAGACAGTGAACCTGTATGAGTTATAGTTGGAATTTTTCAGCAAAAGGTCCTGTTGTTGGTTGTGGAAAGCGAAGAAAACGTTGGAAAACAAGAGTATAGACTAGATTATGATCCATTAAAGTTGCTTTTGAAAAAACACATTTTAAGAAGTTGTTGTGCACATATTTGTCACAATAAAAACAAACAATAATATACATATTTTAACCTTAAAACCACAACAATGCTGAGATGTGTAAAAACATCTTGCGGACTCTCTAATCACCCTAAATGATATCGTATAGCACAGCGAGAACACATTTATCTTAGTGCAATAATTTGTTTAGTTCACGAGGTCTTTTCCTACCCTATCAAGCCTTATCGGTATGCCAAAAACCGAGTAACCCAGGAATCCCGAAGCAAGTGCCCAAATGCGTTTTGATTTACGATCTCCTACTAATAAAAGCACTTGGAACATGTTTAGCTGCAAAGATTTATTAAAATGTTTTAATCTTTTGTCAGCATTATGGCCGAACGATTTATGAAGCAAAGCGTATTAATTTTTGCACAAATATGACATAAGTAAACACACTTACATGTATTTACACCAAACTCATGGCCCTTTAACTACTACTGGCATTTGCATAGAATATTTTTATTTAAAGTAACAACAACAAAAACAACAACAAATCAAGAAGAAAGCGGTTTTAGCCGGTTTTTATTTTTTTCACTCAATCCACGCGCTGATAATGAGCCGCAAATACTCGGAATATAATGCCTTTTTGTTTTGCATTGGGAGTTTATGTAAAAGTATATAAAAAAAAAAACTGCATTTTACAAATGTGTGTCGTTTGCATTCTATATATATACTTTGTTTCTTTAAATAATTCTCGATTCCATTAAGTTTTTATTTCTTTTTATGGCACTGCAAAATACGTATATAAGAACTTTTAAATCGCCAACAAAATGTTATTGTTGACTGTTCCAATTTTTTTTGTCTGAGTTTCAACTTAACGAGTCATAGGCTATATTAAATTGTATTATATGGTTTTCGAGAGTGTATATAAGTTATTTCCGTTATTTTAATTTTTAATTTATATTTTTCTCAATTTTCTCAGTCTATGTTAGCATTATTATTTTTATTTATTACTATGTAATTACAACATATTTGTCACAGCTCTTATCGATAAGATTATTTGCGTTTCTTATGAATGTTGTTCTTTAAGTAGTTCGGATGTCTATAAGTGCTTGCTCAAGTTTTGATTTTGTCTGATTACCTCTTAAAATGTTCAATAGTCAATAGTTAAAGCTAGCTCTTAAGCCTTAAGAACTAAGCTTAACTACACACACTCATGTATCAAGAGTCGATTTTTTTGAAACATATTTGGAAAGTCGGTGTAAAAAGTATCTATAGGTCTCCAAACCGGAGACTTTTGTTGTAGACTAATAAAAATTAAACATCTTCTCTTCAATTTGGCTGCACGTTAGTTAAACGTATGTGCAAAAAAAAAACTCATTATTTTTTCATTAAAAACAAGAAAATGTTCTAAACAATTAACATATAATGAATATAACATTGAGTTGAGGCAAATATTTTGTGTGGCTGTTTGAACAAATGTAGCAAATGCTTGTCTAATATACAAAGTACTCAGAGTACTCATTAGTTGTTATCTATTTTGTTGTTGATATTTGTTTAAAGTCAATTTCCGAACCTGTAATTACAGCACATAATTTACTTGCATTTTAATATAATTAAAAAAACAGCGTCAAAAAAAACACATCTACAACATCCGAATAAAATAAAAGCTGAAACACAAGCGAACACCTCTTCCCTTTAGCCACACCTGCGACACCTGTTTCGCTGCGCATACACACGCTGAACGCGTGCTTTGATTTGCTTAGCACTTTTTTCGCTATTGTTGTTGTTGGCACAGACACTTGTTGTGATCGCGCATATTACGTTTGATTGACGCTTGGATTGATTACTTGTTTTTTTTTCGTTGTTTTGTTTTTGCCGTTAGCCGCGTTCGCTTTGCGTAAGCCGTTAGCTGTAAGCTGTAAGTTGGCCGCTGGCAGAGCGATTTTAGAGCAGCTCCGTTGTCAACGCGGCCGCTTCGCGTTCTGACATTGACTGCTGGCGCCGTAGCCGTCGCCGTCGCCGCTGTCGCTGCTGCTGCCGCCGCCGCTGCTGTTGCTGCTGCTGCTGCTGTTGCTGCTGCTGCTGGCGTTGTCGCCGTTGTTAGGTGATTTTGTTGCTCCGGACCCGGTTATCACCTTCGGTCAGTTCGACAATTCGTTCCGTTTCGATTGATGACGTTGATCTACAAAACGAGAGCTTTTTAGCGCGCGCTACGATCAGCTGATTTGCATTTTAACAGTTTCGTTTTCTGATTGGCTTTCTGATTGGATTTCTTAAGCGCTGGACAAATTTCTCCCTGCCATTGCAATTGAGCACGGAATTTGCATTGCTTGATAGCAAAAAGTGTTTGATTTTGCAATTAAACCTTAGTTTAATCAAAGTATATATTTTGAAATTAAAAGCCAGTTTTTTTTTTATTTTCTGTCTCAATTTACTATTCGTAATGCTGTCACATCTGAATGTTTACCTAAATTTAAGGGGAGATTTTTTTTTTATAATCAAGCATTAATATTATAATTTTGTCAGTACATATGAAACAGACTAAACATTTATATGCTGCTTTAAAAGCTTTATTGCATATAATTTATTTAATTATTTTGGTTTGCTGCTCGACAGAAACATGTTAATGGAAATCTGATCATATCATATCGCTTAGCTTAATTTAATTAACACGCCAGCAAGGGCACTAAATCTTCGATATTCCAGCTGATAACTGTGCTTTAATTACTGTTACTGTTTATGGCTACTATCATCGATGCCATAACACTAGAACTAATGATGCGCAGATAGATTAAGATTATCCAAAGCCTACACGATACACGAGTACCCAGAATTACGTAATTGGTTTTCTCCACAATTACAATATGTAAAGCTAAATGTTACTTGCTTTACTTGCAGCTGCGCCATATTTACAAATATTTACTATCATGACATATTCACGCCAGTTGCGTAAAATTCAATAATTTTTATTGTTATTATTACCATATTGAATAAATAATTGTACGTGCATTTCATAAGCACTCTGAAAATTATTGTGTGCTTCTAAAGATGTCAGGCAAATGTATGTGATCGCTCGATAAATATTTGATACAATGTGTTTAAACAATAAAACTAAACATAATTAGAAAATTATCGCAGAGGTCTTACAAGCCCTTTTTTTTCATAATTCTAAATAATAAACGTCCAGATGTTTCTTTTGATTACCTCTATAAGAAATTTTATAAGATGAATATATTTTATTGAAATTTATGTGTATGAAAAAATATTTCTGGTAGATCTTAAATGATTTTTATTCTGTCCCTGACAATCTCTTGCCTGGCATATTGTAGCTTGAAGTCGAGTCGTGCTGAAATATCGTGCTTCCACATACTTAAAGAAAATTGCAAACTTAAACACGAAAACGCTTTGATTTATAAATTACGAGTACTTTCATAAATCAACTTTGCACACACGTCGCAACAATCAGATGGGGAAAATGGAAAAAAATCTGACAATTATTTCTCGTCTGTTGGTTTTTAGCATTTTTTTTTTCTTTCGCATCGTGAAGCGCATAAATAACTTGGCAAATAGATACAACTGATTAGAGCGTTATAATTTTGCACTTATGTAAAGATACTCGCCCCCGTCCAAGTCCTTGGGCATGTGAATTTATTATACCCACAATAAAAATGCCCGATTTTATTGGTAGACCCCAAGCACAAGTCTTTAATAACTGCGTGCGCAATCGCAAAGAATTGGCTAACAATCACATCTTGAAGTGTGATCAGAATTTATATAGACGCCATGGAACGAGTCTACGTTCTGGAATGTGATGGCATTATCTATTTTGGGTTTCTTGCTCTCGTACATATTTTATTGACATAATTAGCGAAAATTATTATTGTCATTGTCGCTTGAGTAAAACCTATCTAGCTGACGTACCAGAGGGAGAGAGAGAGCGAGATAGAGCGAGAGATGGGGAGAGATGTCGATAGCAGATGAAAGAAAGTGAAATGTGAGGGTAAGAACTAAAGTGCATAGTCTATAAGATGTACATAGAACAGAACCCAATTGAGTTTTCGTAATCGTAAATTAGCGAATGCACAAGTTATAAATGACTTGGAAGATAAACGTTATAAAGTATATAATTATGACCACATTTTTATTGAATATTTATAGTAAATTATTATTCAAGCAGTTTGTCAGACCACCCAAAGCTTACAGCCTGAAGTTATTTCAGGAATTGCTAATTTGTGTGTCATAATACCTACATACACTCAGAGAAAAAGGCTGTTCCAAATTCGAATATATCCGATGTAGAATTTGTACAGTTTTTCGTTTAATATATTATACATACATTTAGAATATTTAAACCATAACTATTCTAGAGCTAAGTTGGATCAAAAGATTAATCATACGATATACTATAATATCTAAATCTTAGGAAATAACATATCTTGTGAAATTTTAGGATTCGAAATTTGACTTAAAACACAAATTTCATTAGGTTAATAGGTTCTGGCCTTGTCCTTGAACTTGATTCGACTATAAATTCATTGTTTCTTTTTCGCTGAGTGTACATATCAAACACTTCTCATATTTTTCACCTCACTTTTTCCATTCATTAGACGTAGAAGCCGCTATATTTTGCAGCTCTGTTAACAAGCATTAATTTAGCACATTTTCTACGGCCCATTTCAGGCGGAGAGTAGAAAAAAAAACAAATAATAAAAACAACCCATCGGAGTTCACACATTTTTGTAAGCCAAATAGTGTTATAAAAAATATTCCATATTTGCCTCAAATATTCCATGCACACTTTTTTTTCTGCTGTATTAACAATTGTTTTACTTGCGCTCGACTAATTCAAAAGCGACGTTTAACGTAATTACAATCTGTTGCCCCTTTCCCCGCCAATTGTTGGCGTGTGGGTAAAATTTTCGACTCGTGGAATGAGCGCGCGCGTTCGCCACAGCAACAAAAACAATAATGCAAAGTGCCGCGGCATTTGTTGACCAAGTCTAGAGTATTGCACGATCTATTGCTGATCTAGACTTCTATAGTATAGCCCTGTAATTGGTATAGTCTGGGAAATACTTGCTGCTTCAAGTCGATCGTGGACTGAGGAAACTTAGAACCCATTCGGCTTGACGCCGATTCCCAATTCTGGGAAAATGCTTGAACATATATTAATTCAATAAGAAACAGAACGAGACTAAAAATAATGCATAACCCGATCCGCATTTTGTTGATTACAATTCGATTCGTATGATCTTCCACTGTTTATATAAAAATTGATTCCAGAGGTAATCATCTTGATTATCTTTTAAGAAAGAGTCGATCCCCATAATATGCAGTATAAAACAATATTTTTATTTGGGAGTACGAATCGATGTATTGGTTTATACATTTTATTGCTTTTAGATGTTTATAATTTCTTGTTGTCATGTCAGGATTGATTCAGTAATTACAAAAAATTGACATTTCTTTTTGTCCAAATCTTATTCCTTTTGTCCTGTTATCATTTCATTCTTGTGGAAGGGAGGCCAACATCTCTTTACATTTGCGACCAAAACTAAGTGTTAACCATCTGGTTAGTATAGATACATTTTTGCTTAAATTATATAAAAGATGTGTATTTGTTTCATATGCAATCGAAACGTTGTAATTCTATGTCCTAGCGACATAATATGTCCTTCGTGTTTGCTTATAAGGTGCGTTCGACGGTTGCGGTGGTGGTCCGCAATCTTATAAAATACTTGCGTTTACATTAGCATATGTAAAAGTAAGGAATTAATGTAAAGGTAAGCGTTTAAATGCGACGTGAGAAGCCACTACCACCACTACCACCACCACCACCGACACCGCCACCGCCGCCGCCGCCGCCAAGGTTGCCCGGACCACCACCGGCGCCGCCGCCGCCGACATTAACGCCGCCGCGTGTTTTGCCATCATAGAAGAGCTCAATGTAGCGGGAGCCCATTTGCTCGCGGTGCCGCTTCATAGCCAGTTGCGAATCGTCGTACGTGTCAAAATAGGCGTCTGCGGTGCCGCTGTGCAGGCCCTTCTTATTGTAATTGATGCGCACGTTAGCTGGGCGTATGGGATCAAAGAACTGCAAGATGAAGAAAGCAGGTTAACTAGAAGAATCGCTTCGGCTGCTCTGCATTTGATGCTTACCTTGAACACATCATTTTCAAACGAATTGTAGGGAAGGCCGCGCATGTGAATGGTGTAATACTCTACATCATTGTTGCGACCACCCCCAATGGGACCGAAATTGCCTCCAACCGATCCAAAATTGCCTCCGTTGTTAAAGCCGCCACCGCCATTGTTGAAGCCACCGCCGCCACCATTATTGAAGCCGCCGCCGCCATTGTTAAAGCCACCGCCGCCGCCATTGTTGAAGCCGCCACCATTGTTAAAGCCTCCTCCACCGCCGCCGGAATTGTTGCCAAAGTTACCAAAACCTACGCCGCCGCCACCGCCGCCATTGAAGCCACCGCCAGAGTTGCTGCTGTTATTGAAACCACCGCCATTTCCACCGTTGTTGAAGCCGCCAACACTGCCGCCATTATTGAAGCCATTACCGCCTCCGCCAACAGCGTTGTTGCCAAAATTACCAAAGCCTCCGCCGCCACCGCCGCCGTTGTTGCCGAAATTTCCAGGCATGTCTGTAATGGAAGGCACATTTTTCATTAGAAAGAACCAAGAGGCTTAGTTGGTTTAGTTTCGGCTAAAATGGGTTAAAAATATTTAACTATCTAATATGGGGTACATGTAACAAGAAGACAAAAAAAATCAACTATACGAGCTGGTTTTGCTTTTGTTAGATCAGGAGGATTATTAGGAACTGTCTAACATGCCATTTGCACTAAGTAGAGATTCAAACCAAGCCCCTTCAAGCCCCTGAATGCCCGAAGATTTTGTATAGAATTAGACGCAAACCCAAAGATTATGACTTTTTTTTTGTTGTTTTTGGTTCTGCAATTCTTACTTACCAAAGTTGTTACCATTGTTGTTGCTGCGATTGTTTCCAAAATTATTAAAATCGCCAAAATCGTTGCCAAAATTGCCAAAATTCCCAGTGTTTTGACCAAAATTGCCATTGTTGCCGCCGCCGCCGCCACCACCACCGCCGCCGACGCCGCCGCCGGAGTTATTGCCAAAATTACCCGAGTTCATTAAACTGGGCAAATTGTTAAAGCCCAACATATTATTGGCGCCCACGCCAAAGTTGCTGTTGTTGCCCCAGTCTGCAAAAAGAGAATGTTCCAAATTTGAACATTAGTCGAGCTCCTAATTAGTCATCAGTTACTGAGGCAAATGAGTCAAGGTTCTAGATGATTTAATACAGGGGTAAGCCGTGTAGGCTTTTCTCAGGCCAAGTGTTGTTCTTTAAGCCCCCATTTTCACCCGCAATCAGAAAAATCTAACATGTGCAATTTTACATCTTTGAATTATATCTTAGTTTTCGGCTAGGACCGATTTTCTAAAATCGTTGACAAAATGTAGGGGTTAGCTATAGCTGCAAAAATAATTTTGATGACAATCAGACAAAAATGGAATCCCCATTTTCCACCCATTTAGGTGGAATATACCAAAAAGTGTGAAAAACATCTCAAAACAACTATCCCAAGGAACTCTGCGTACGTTAATCATCAATTAATGAGTGAGTCAATCAATATATTCTGATGTATATCTAAACTGCTTTAAGGTCTAACCCATTTTAGGGCATTCTCGGGCCAAACTTACCATTTCGTCCACCGAAATCGTTGCCGCCACGATTGGCGCCGCGATCGCGTATATCATATGGTCCAGGCCGTCCACCGCCGCCGCCGCCCGTGGCACGCTTCATCTCAGCAATGGAGCTGCGGAAAATTTCAATATACCTAGGAGCAGTGAAAATGAGAAGAGGGTGAAATCATATTAGCAGACTTGTGGTGAGAAAAGTACCATGCTTATTGAGAGGGGTTTGCTATGGCCGGCGGCGTTTTTTATTTTTTTATTTGTGAGTTAATGACACAATAATCCATATTATTAAAGAATATCCTTGGGTTAGATAAACACAGACAGTCAATGCTCTGAGACTTTTGATAAGAATATACTAAATGGGTAAAAAATGTAAATTAATTAAAGTATATAGAACTTATCAAAAGACTTTCTCTGGTTAATAGGTGTTATCAATTTGCTATTGTTGTTGCACCCAACCAGACCCATAGCCTGTGCTCTATATATAAACTATGTGTATATATATATGCACAATTAAGTTTTTTTTTGTTTTTTTTTTTTTACTGAAATAGGAATGTATATAAATTAGCTTTGTTTATTTTTTGTTTTTCATTTGCTGATAATTGCAACATTTGAAAAGTTTAATTTGTTGTTGATTCATGTTACCATTTGAATGTTGAATGTTTATTGGCTGTTGTGCTGTTGTTGTTGTAGTTGGTAAATATGATGTGTAAGAAACCCACCTGTGCCCAATTTTTTCCCGATTTCGGCCCAAGGCTTGCTCAGTGTCATCCTGGCTTTCGAACTGAACGAAAGCTTCCCCAGTTGCACGACCCCTTCTGTCCATAACAAAAAGTATGCCCTCCCGATCCGTTTTGATTTCCAACCCTGCCCATGACGATAACCAACAAAGATTTATACAAATATATAGAGATATATATATATATATTTATATATATATATATATAATGCAGTTAACGATAGATACAGAGAATGAGAGATAGAGATTGGACGATATATATATATATATTTTTTTTATAGAGAAGTGGTGAATTGTTTGCTTGTCTTATTGTTGTCGCTCGAAGAGAACTGTAACAGTTCCTTGAGGGCGATCTAATTTAAAGGATTGCCTTCAAGTTATATTATCAATACGACGATGAAATCAATATTTTGTTAACTTTAATATCATGTGTGCAGTTGAATTGTTAATATATAGATCATACCAAATACAATAACAGAATAAACTTGTTAAAAAAAATGATTAGAGGGCAAGACAACATATATCAATTAATATTGTTGATACTATTATCATATATTAACAATTCTAAATGCATTAAAAAATAAAAACGATTTACTTGGTTAGATAAATTCCAATTTTAGCGTGTGTGTGTGTGTGCTTGTGTATGTGTGCGTATTGGAAATGGAAATGAAATGAATATTGAATGGTGCTTGATCATATAACGACCCCTGGTCCTTGGATGCAAACACCCCAGACGTTTGGGTATACAACTCAAATGGAGCCCAAGACTAACACTCAATTCGTGGCTCAACGCTATAGATTTCTATATATATATTTCTATACATATGTATATATTTATATTTATATATATATATATATAAGTATATGCATATGCTTTATAGATGCATTCGCATCAGTACGTTTTACGAGTTCTCCTTTGCCCACTAAATACATGTAAAGAAAAACAGACACACACACACGATTAGCGCATGGACTCACCGGTAAAGAACTCCTCGATCTGCTGCTCTGTGACAGCATAAGGCAGGCCACGCAGCTTAACAACGAAGGCGTGGCCATGACCGCCCGTCTTGCGCATGGCCTCCTTAGCCTCCTTGGGCGTGGCAACAAAGACTTAGGAGCACAGAAGAGTTAAAAGTTAATACTTGGCAAGGATAACCGAAAACTAGAGAGCCTCACCCTCAATATAACGATGACCCATGCTGGCCTTGTTAAGCTTCCGTGCCTCCTCGACATCATCCTGGCTGGCAACTTCGACGTACGCCTCACCGGTATTCTTGCCATCCACACGGCTGGTGACCAGATGTATGCCCTGCGAGCCATTGAGAACTTCCACATTGACCAAAAAGTCAAGAATCTCCTTGTGTGTTGCCGACCATGGCAGACCGCGTAGTCGTATAAATTTGGGACTCTCGCCAACGCTGCCGATTTTTACATTGGAATCATCGTCGGCATCGTTCTGATCATTATCGTATTGCTCATCATCCTCTTGCTGCTGATCATTGTCATCGTTATAGTTGTCTTCATTGTTGTCCTGATTCTGGGCGAATCCCTGATTATACTGCACGTCTGCGTTCGACATGGTTGCTTTCAGAGGGCGGCAATTCTGTCAGCGGGGGCGAAGCGAAAGGGATAGCATTAATAATATACAGATATATTAGCCAGAATTATTAATTATTCCCATTCAACTACATATATTGCTTTTACGCATTTTATTACGTTTTTCTACAATGCCGCTTCGTTTTGCTTCTTTTTTTTTTGCGGCGCTTACGCCATTTTGATTTTGCCTTTGCTAGTCTCATTTTTCTGTCGACTTTTTTTCCCAAAATCACACTTTTTCAAGCTCAAAATTTCGTAAATTTGTGTACACATATGCACAGCTCATAGCTTACCTGCTTTTGGATGTTTAGAATTTGTTACTAATCTTTTTATTAATTTGTTTCGGCACTTTTTGCACAATTTTTATGTATAAGGAACAGCACGCGTCCAGATTAGAGTTGTATCGAATCTTTCAGCTCGACGGAGCGACTCACTCAACTGAATGAACGATTTTTCGTTCATCTAGTTCGCATCGTTTTGTTCTGCCCTTGTCACTGTTATAGTAACAGTCGGCTGAAATACCATTATTTCTTATAAATTTGGTTTTTACGACTTTATCTGATATTTTACAATTTATTTTGATTATTACAATTTGTTTAGCAACAGTTTTAGCCTATAGACATTGCAATATTAATTTTGGCAAGCTTATCGAATTTAAATTTAACAGAGGCATAAACGGCACAACAATATCACCCTATCGATATAAATGAACTAAGCGCTGAGCAGAGCTGAAGTAATTCATCGATATGGCTAAGTATCGATGTCAGTGTGATAGTGTTGAAAAGCGTTAAGGTTTTTAAAATATATTTTTGAAAAACAAAAGATTTTTAAAGTTCAATTTATTGTTTGATTCCATAATAATACTGGCAAAAAAACAACGCACTTATGAAACCAGTTTGAATTTTGGCGCTTCCCATGATCGTGGCAGTCGCATTGAAGACCTTTTGGAGACTTTTGTTGCCATGGCAATTGGCGCGCAATTCGATTCCTGTACGAGTTTGTTTGTTCAATAAAGTTTGTGCATTGGTTTTGTCAGAAAGCAGAAAGAAAAATAACACAGTGACCGAAAATTGATTTGCAAAACTAGTAAATTTATAAAATTAATTGCGTTTTTTGCGTTTGTTATTTTTTTTTTGTGTTGCATTAATATTGCTGGCACAATGTTCGTGCAAAAGAAAAAACTGGTTGAGCATGTGCTTGCAATGCGTGCAAATGGTGGCAGTGGCAGCGATGATGATGAGGAGGAGGAGGACGAGGGCGACATTTTGCAGGTGCCAATTGAGAGACAACTAAACAATTTACTAATTAATTAGTTGCCAATTAAATTTGTAACTTGTTCAATGCAAGATTATTATAAATAATTATTGCTTCAGTACGAAATGTAATGTAACCCTTTAGCTCCTTGTACTCGTTGGCTGATTATGTAATCCTTAAAATGGTGTAAAAAAAGAGAGAGAAAAATAATAAATTGCAAATTAACTTATAAATATGCGCTGTAGTTGAACAAAGCTAAAACGGAATTTGGCTTATGAATAAGATAAATATATTCAACTAATCCATAAATTAAAATTTTATTTTTTAGTACACTTGTAATGCAATCTTATGAAACCTCACTCTCGTTGCAGAAATAACCCTCAAGTTTTAAATATCGAAAGACTATATACACACACTAAAAACTATAAACAATTGTAACTCTTAAGTGCGTTTTGTGTTTTACTGAGCTGAAGAACAAATTTTGGTTTTTGTGCTCCCACGTTGTTGGTTGTTGTTTTTTCTAGCTGCACCGTAAAAGCAAAGATTCAATTAAAAGTTGTTCTAGTTGTTGTTCTTGTTATGGCAATTGCTGTAAGTAGTTTTGTATTTTGCATAAATGTATTTGATTTACTTTAATATCGCGTCAACAGTTTTTGCAACGCAAGCAATGACAAGAAATTTGTTTTTGAAACTAACTTATATTTTTGGTCTTTTCCCATTTTTGAATTTTGCAATGGCGAAAACACTAAAATGATAAACAAATAAAAAACCTATAACTTAATAAATTATATTTTTAATACATATATAATATCAATAAATGAACATTCTGCGGCACCTGATAAACTTTTACTGCGCGTATTTTTTGGTAACTCCAACGGTTTAATATATATAATCCATTTATATGGATATTTGATAAAAAAAAATAAATAAAACAATAAACATGGCCATGGACCCGGACGAAGCGCAGCGTCGACGCGAAGAATGCGAGCGCAAGGCGCGCCGTGGGGAGATGGATCCCCGTTTGGAGTTCACATTCCAGCTGCTGATAGACGCCACACAGCTGCCGCGGCATCAGCTCATGGACTACATATTCGAAGGGGATATGGTAGCGTTTTTATTTAATTAGCCAAAGTCGCATTATATTGATTTGTATGTGTATTCACCAGCTCGATGAGATTAATCAGCTATTTCTGCCGAACATGAAGAACAAGCTGCTGTGGTTCTATCAGGAGGTGGATGAGCCGGAACCTCCGCCAGTGGTGGATGCCAATAAGCCAGGACCTTCGCGCACAGGCATGGCATCGAGCAGCTCGAAGACGCCACAGGGTATGTTGAACATCAAATTGATATACCAATATCTGGTCGAAATATATATTGCCTTTCCTTTTAGGTGGTGCCTCGCCCAGCGGCCTGCCGGCATCCAAGCATAAGAAACTGTTCCTAACCGATGGCTGGACCTGCGCCTTTACCGGCGTCTGTATTTATATCTTTCGCGTGAATACGTCAAAGCAGCTGCCCGAGGAGGGATTTCAAAAGGATTTGTAAGTTTTTCGTTATCCTCTACCCATTGAAAATGTTTTAACGGCTATGCTGGTCTAATGCCTTCCGTTTGTATAAAAGAGTTGATCATTGTATCATAATTTATATATATCGCTAAGAGTTAAATAACTTCAACCAGTTTATCTTTAATATGAATCGCCGCTGGGTACGTGGTATCTGCTAGTCGGAAACTCTTGACTGCTCCACGTTTGTTTTCCGTTTTAGTTTGCGCCTTTGTTTATCTTTCATAGATTTCTTTTTGATTCGACTAAACTTAAAAACTGTTATCTAAGAATAGCCAATTTTTAGTTAGTTTGTTGGCACGCGGATTATCGGGGATTTATACGACACACACACACACACACACACACAGAGACGCACACACATGATTGAGGGTATTGGTAATTGAATATTTTGGTCGCCTTCTCTTCCCTAATTTATTTAGATACTGTGGCGTCATCGACGCCAAGAATATTGGCCTGGTCACATCCATAGAGCGTATTGTGGAGTTTGTGTTTATGCAGGCATTGGCCTTTCCCAGCCTCGAAGGCGATGAGGAAGACGTGAGCTGCGGTCTCATAAAAGGGCAACTGCTGCCGGGATTGCGCTCCTTTTGCAGCGCTCTGCGCGTTTGTGAGCAGGTCTGCGATCATTATAATGTGTTTGCCGATGGCTGCGATATGTTTGATGGCTGCATAGTTGTCGAGGAGGTCAAGGACATGGCCAAGAATCAGGAATTCTGCACGCAGCTGGAGGAGCGCGTCAACAACTGGACAAAGGGCATACTGAAAATACTGGGCGAGAGTGAGCAGCTGCGCAAGGAGAACGATCACAGCGGACCCCAGGACGAGCTGGAGTATTGGAAGAAACGTGGCGCACAATTCTCACAGCTGCTCGCCCATCTGCAGGACAAGGAAGTGCAATTCACTCTCCATTGCCTCTTTCTCGCCGGTTCAAGGGTAATGCGTCAGTGGAAGGAAACCGATCGCAAGATAACATTCTGCTACAACGAAGCGCGCGACAATTCCAAGTTTATACAGGCCATGGAGACATGTTGTCATTCATTGTATCTGGACGATCCTGTCAGCATGAAGGAGTCCATATTGGCTTTGCTTCAGACGGTGCGTCTCATCTACAGTGTCTCACAATTCTACAATACTTCCGAGCGCACCTCGGCGCTAATGGTTAAGGTAAGTCGGAAGTGATGTTGTCTATTTACCTGGGATAAGAGGCAGTTATCTATTGGTTATCTTTAACTTCCAAATAGAGAAACTTATTGGCACTGCTGTCGTCATTCAAGAGCGTATTTTCCGTTTTCTTTTATGCATTTGACTTGTTCTGCTCGTGGTTCCACTTTTGCCATAAGCTCTCTATTTTATTAAGGCAACTGAATTGATTGATTTTCTGCGGGGCAGCAGCTTATATGGTGCTCGTTGAGTTTATAAAGTTCACTTACCCTGGAATTTGCTATAGAGCTGCTTGGATAGCTTCCAGGATATTATTGGGTCGCTGACCTTTTGCACCTTGCCGGGGCTGTTACGTTCCGCGCGTGTCGAACCGTGCGACTGTCAACAACGAGTGCATTGATATTTGCATTGAATATGAAAAAATGAAAAATTGCTATAAAGGTGTTGAGCTTTAAAAATAAATTACATTTTGAATGGTTAAGTAACACACACGGTTGCATTGGCAAGTAAATGTAAGCAGATTGGCAGTCCTGGTATTGATTGCTGCCCTGGTATTCATGTTTATTTTGGCGCTGAAAACGTTACATTTTTAATTATAAGCTTGCTTTACATTTTTAACAGATTACAAACCAAATGATCGAAACATGCAAGTCCTACATCACTTGTCGCTGCAAGGAAACTATTTGGTCTCAAGATCGTAGCCTTATTCGCACAAAGCTGAGCAACTGCATCAAACTGAACCACATCTATCATGAGACCTATTATACAGTTCGGGAGCAGCCGTTTCTGCCGCATCAGACACCATTTGGCTTCTCTGAGAACTTTGTTTTTGGTATGTAAATAAATAGTATAGTATACCTAATAATATTTATCGCTTCTCTCCAGGCAAGTTCGACACATTCTGCGAGCGTCTCTCGAAGATAATAAACATGTTCAATCTAATTGACGATTATAATCATTTGTTTGAGCGTCGCTTGGAGGGTCTGCTGCTGGGCGAAGCCTTGGAGGATGCCTCCAATCATTTTGAGGAAGCCAAAAAGGAGATCACATCGAAGAAATACGATTATCTGGATCATCGCAATGCCGAATTTAATGATGACTTTGATCGGTTCATGAATAAAACCGATTCGCTGAAGGATACGATTGCCACGCTGATCGAGCGGGACTTTGACACTGTGTGGGAGACGCCTCAATGCATACGCTTCCTGGTGCGCTTTGAGAAGGTCAGCGAGAAGATTCCACTGACCCGTATGGATGAGAAGTACACGAGAATTTTACGCTATGTGGAAAAGGAGGTCGATCGCATATTAAAGACATTTCGCCGGCAGCGTGACGATCCGCCATTGGCGCGCAACTTTCCGCCCATCGCAGGTCGCATTCATTGGTGTCGCGCCTTAAGTTTACATCTCACCGAGCTGATGGATGCGGTGATGGACCATGGGGTTCTTAGCACTCTGCCGCTGGCCAGAGATCTCGATGTACGCTTTAATAATGTGCTGGACGTGCTGCAGGAATATGAGGATGAGATTGTATCCATTTGGTTGGATCAGGATATAAGTGTCGCAGATGCCTGCTTGCTCCAGCCGCTGCTCTGTCTGCAGGGCGATCGCTTGTTTGTAAATTTGCATCCGACAATTCCATTGCTTATAAGGGAGGCCAAGATGCTGGCCAAGCTGAAAATCGAGCTGCCCATTGTGGCAGCCACGCTGATGAGTCGACAACAGTACTTCATTACCATTCAGGACTCGCTGAACGTGAGTCTGCACTAGATGTACCTCAACAATTTCCTTTGTTAATTTGCATTTCTGTCCGCAGAGCCTTATCAAAATGTTTCTGTCAACGGTCAAGGCTGTCAAGCTGGAGGTGCGTCCACTGTTCCTGCCACAGCTGGTTCGTCTAACGGCCATGCTGAAGCCGGGTCTGCATAACATCAATGTAAGTGGCACATTCTGTACGCTGACTTCAGCACCTGACAATTAAGCTTCCGTTTTGTAGTGGACCAACCAGAACTGGACACAATTCTATGAGCGCTGCAAGCAGGCCATTGAGACCTTTGAGGTGCTGGTGGCGCGCGTACATGACATCTACTCGAACCGCATACTCAACGTGCTCATGTGGATGCAGGAGGTATCGCTCCAAATACTGCCAGCAGGTGGGTGCTCGACTGGCACAGCTGCCAGTATCTAATTGCTAAACCCCACACTTGGGTCTATATTTAATTTTATGCTCTCAAAAACTTTGCACATTTGTTTCCTGACGCAGACGATGAGATCTGGACAGTTGATGAATTTTTGGAGCGCAGCGAGGAGGCGTGCAGGTAAATTTGCTACCTGTCAGCTCAGCTCGCGCTGGAGTGTGTGTGTGTGTTAGGCATGTGGCAACAAAACTCGTTTGAACTTTGCCATCAACTTGGCTGCCTGCGGTTGACTTTGTTAGCTTTTGTGTGATTTATTGAATTTATCAATTTTAATTTATGTATGAGGTTTTCCATTTGCATAGATTGAAAACTTGATCTGCATGTAAAAGAGTGTGTCTGGGTGCGGTGTGTGTCTGAGTGGGTTGGGGAAGCACAATTGCGTTTTTTCTTTGTACTCAACTTTTAATGAAAGCATATTCTCAGGCCATTCGTCATTAAGTGCAGTTGCATTTTCCCCAAACTATTTGATTTGCTCTTCTATTGACTATTTTTAAGCAATTTTACAGGTGAATGCGTTAGTCAATCAGCAGCAAATAAAGGCTTTTTGTTTTAACGTCAAACTGTCTAAATATAATTAAAATATATTCTTGTTCCACAGAAAAGCTGCCATTGAACTTAATCGAAAAAGTCAAATGGTCTCGGAGGCAGTGGAGGAAGTCTTGAATTTGGTGGACAAGGCAACGGAGACGTTTAAGCAGATTGCCGGGGATGATGTGGTTACCTTGTTCGATGGTAAGTCGCACAATTGATATGTAACTTAACTAAATATATGCAAAACCCTGGCCAATAGCCACTCCCAAGGGCGAACAGACGGGCTCGGGAGGGCGCAAAGTGGAGGACGGCGCTGCAGCTGCAGGAACTTCAGGTGCAAACACGTCGGCAGCAGGTGCAACATCTGGCGCTGGTGCAGGTGGTGGGGGCGGCCAACAGCAGGACTGGAGCATTTTGTGGTCCTGTTTTGAGAATCCGCTGACACTGCTCTCCACCTCTGATAGTTTGCCCAAGGGCATGCAGGTGAGTTTTTATGGTTAACCAGAAACGCATTTAATATCCCTTTATTTGTTTCAGGACATGGTATGCAATGCCGTCGTAGAAATGCGTCGCTATTATAGTCGCAAGGTGATCGATGTGCTGATTAAGGTGATACGTGCAGCGCTGGACACAATGCGGCGTCGGTTCATCGCCGATGAGCATGAGACGGCATCAAAGAAACCGATCTTTGCGTTACACGCGCAGCTGCAGATACCCAATGTGGTCATCAAGCCGAGTCTGGACGAGCTGCAGGATATATTGGTGACGGCTGGCAAGAATATCACGGGCATTGCGAAGGGTGTGGCGCAATGGACTAGCGGCAAGGATCCGCCGGTTCGTACCACACCGTTAAATAGCTTCGCAATGTTCACAAAAATCTTGTCTTACCAACCGCAGCAAGTTTCGATGACGGCCCAGCCGCGCGTCGGACGCAATCACACGGACGCCGCTGGCGGGTCAAAGAATCGACGCCGCAAAATCTATTGCCTAGCCTCTGAGGAACGACCACAGATGCCGCATATGCTCAAGAGCTTCTACTCGGCCATTATGGATAACAAAGAGGTCGCCAAGGCACTTAATCAGCTCTCCAGCTGCACCAAGAACATCAAGCCAGAGATACAAACCTACATCAAACGCTGGAAACCGTATCATTTTCTTTGGAAAAACGATCGCACCACGCGGCAGCTGATGGAGTTTGGACTGCAACAATTTGAGTCCACATTGCGTTGTCTGGCGGAACTGGATGCAAATCTGCTCGTTGAACCGGACATGGAGATCTTTGGACAATGCGTAGCGGTCTACAATGAAAGGCTCAAATATGGTTTGGCCATTGAGATCAAGTGTGAGTACTCCAGTTGGTGTATATTATTTTATTTATTAGTTTATTAATTGATTGCCAGTTTGTTTGCAGTATTTTCTTCAAGCTTATCGTAGATTATACGCAGTATTTGATGAAGAATCTTAAACGTTTTTCGCATGCAATCTGTGCGTTTGTGAAAGTATAAATCTATATATTGATGAGTGTGTGGGCCATATATTCATTCACATCCGTCTTGCGCTTTAATAAAGCTTCCGTGAGTTTTTCTTACCTTCGGCTAGCCCAACGATTTATTTGTTGTGTTCCTAACCAACTTAAATTTCGTTTCTAATTCCCATTGGCAACACCTACGACACTTAGCGGCTTATCAGCCACAAATTTGACACCCACACGCGCTCACGATTGCTAGACAAACAGTCTTAAGCAGGCAGCTATTCAAATTTATTGGTTTCCAATTAAGTAATAAAATATATTTGGCCGAATTAGCTGTGCAAAGGAAGCACCGGGAAATAAATGTGCGTTTGTGAGGGACAGACAGCAGCATCGGATAGGTTGCCATGTCTGAATCCATGAATGCCAAAGCAAAAATCAATTAGCCCCCTGCCCCGCATTGTCAGCTTGGCGCGCATTGATTAATGGGTTTCGATATCCTTTGTTGGTGTAAACACTTTTCGGCTGTTTCTATTTTCAGCCTGTAACCACAAAATTGGCCAGGCCATGAAGAAGAAGTATAAGAAGGAAATGGATTATGTTTATGCGGTGATCAATGAAATGGATCGTAAACTGGACCGGCCCATACGTGACCTGGACGATGTGCGTATGATAATGGAGACATTAAGCAAGATACGGGAACAGGAGGTGGACATGGAGATGCGCATAGATCCGATTGAGGTGCGTTCCAAATCTACCATAGATTCTTTCTAATTCATTGTCCCAACTACCAGGAGGCATTCAATGTTCTCACCCGTTATGAGGTGCAGGTGGAGCGGGAACAGTTCGATTTGGTCGACAATTTGCGTACAACGTTTCAGAATTTGCTGGCCGGAGCACTGCAGGCGCAGGTGAAGCTGTTGGATATGCAGCCGGCGTTCCAGGGCGATTTGCGCAGCAATCTAGACAACTTTAAGCAGGATAAGATTGCCTATGTGACGGAATATCGCACAGCGGGACCCATGCAGGCGGGTCTGACGCCGCGCGAGGCTTCCGACCGACTGATTTTGTTCCAGAATCGTTTTGAGGGCATGTGGCGCCGCCTACAGACGTACCAAAGCGGCGAGGAACTCTTCGGTCTGCCACAAACGGATTACCCAGAGCTGGGCCAAATACGCAAGGAGCTCAATTTGCTGCAAAAGCTGTACAAGCTATATAATGATGTTATTGATAGGGTTAGCAGCTACTATGATATACCCTGGAACGAGGTGGACATTGAGGAGATTAACAACGAGCTGATGGAGTTCCAGAATCGTTGTCGCAAGCTGCCCAAGGGGTTGAAGGAATGGCCAGCCTTTCATGCTCTGAAAAAGACCATCGATGATTTCAATGATATGTGCCCGTTATTGGAGTTGATGGCGAATAAAGCTATGAAGCCACGCCATTGGCAGCGGATCATGGACGTTACTCGCTACATCTTCGAGTTCGACTCGGAGGGTTTCTCGCTCAAGAACATACTGGAGGCGCCGCTACTCAAGCACAAAGAGGACATCGAAGACATTTGCATTAGCGCCATGAAGGAGAAGGATATAGAGGCCAAGCTGAAGCAGGTGACCAACGAATGGTCCGTACACGAGCTGCAATTCATGAGCTTCAACAATCGCGGCGAACTGCTGCTGCGTGGCGATACCACAGCGGAGACCATTGGCCAGCTAGAGGATAGTCTCATGGTGCTTGGCTCACTGCTATCGAATCGCTATAACGCGCCCTTTCGCAAACAAATCCAGCAATGGGTCTACGATCTGTCCAACTCCAACGAGATACTGGAACGCTGGCTGCTTGTTCAAAACATGTGGGTCTATCTGGAGGCTGTCTTTGTGGGCGGCGACATAGCCAAGCAGCTGCCCAAGGAGGCCAAGCGCTTCTCCAAAATCGACAAGTCCTGGCAAAAAATCATGCAGGTACACAAAATGGTTTTCATTTCATTTTTATGTATCGCATTTTTCAAATTCTTTCGTGCAGCGCGCTCACGAGACTCCAGGTAAGTCAAACGGAATAACTTTTGAATATATTTCATAGAAATTAAATGTATCTCTAAAACCTACTATTTAATTTTCCCTTAAACATAATTGTAACTAAAATTATAAATCCTATAAATATGATTTTAAAATAATAAAACAGGCGTTGTGGCCTGTTGCGTGGGCGATGACCTGCTCAAGCAGCTGCTGCCACATCTTCAGGAGCAGCTAGAAATTTGCCAGGTACTCATTTAATAAATTAATAACGACATGGCATGCAAACAAAAAAAATATACATAAATGAATTCAATCTGTATCTGGATTACATGAATTATTTATAATTGTTTCACACTATAGAAATCCTTGAGTGGTTATTTGGAACGCAAACGCATTATGTTTCCGCGTTTCTTCTTCGTATCGGATCCGGCGCTGCTCGAGATACTTGGGCAGGGCTCCGATTCGCATACCATACAGAATCATTTGCTAAACATCTTCGATAATACCAAATGCGTCAAGTGAGTACAAATGAAATGGAAGCCAGCACTCAAACACACACCAATCAAATACTCTACACTTTCAGATTCCATGATGTTGAGTACAATAAAATGATGGCGATTATTAGCAGCGAGGGTGAGATGATACAGCTGGATCGTGCCATACGTGCCGAGGGTTCGGTCGAGACATGGCTAACTCAATTGCTGGTCACAGCACAGCAGTCACTGCATTCCATAATACGCACCGCATATGCGACAATAAACGATCCGAATTTTACGCTGTTGACCTTCCTAGAGAAGGTGCCGGCTCAAATCGGTTTATTGGGTATACAAATGATTTGGACACGCGATGCAGAAATGGCTCTGATGCAGGCCAGGCATGAGAGGAAGGTCATGTCCGAGACGAATAATAAATTCCTCGAGATGCTCAACACCCTTATCGATCAGACGACACGCAATCTATCCAAGCGTGAACGAACTAATTTTGAAACATTAATCACAATACATGTGCATCAGCGTGATATCTTTGATATACTGGTAGGGCATTAAAGACTATAGCATACACTTCTCTTACATATATACGCTTTTTCTTTTAGTGCCGCATGAATATCAAATCCTCGAACGACTTTGAGTGGCTGAAGCAATGCCGCTTCTATTTCAAGGAGGATCTGGACAAGACCTGGATATCTGTTACAGATGTTACCTTTACCTATCAGAATGAGTATCTGGGCTGCACAGACCGTTTGGTTATAACGCCCTTAACGGATCGGTATGTGATTTATCAACATAATATTTATTTTATTTTTTACAATTTAATTCAATTTTCCGTCAACGTAATACGCTTCAGTTCTTGTCATGTGTGTGTGCGTCTGTGTTTTAAATTGAATTAAAAAGTTGCTGTTAAAATTGTATAAAACTGGCAGCTTGGTAAAATTAATTTTAACTTTGAAGCTTTAACCATATTGTAAGTAACTAAAAAAAAAAAGCTTTAGCTAATGGCAAATCAGGTTTTGCATAGAAACACTGTCAAGTGAAACCACATGCGAGGTCTGAGATAGTTTTGGCTTGTTATAAATATGCAAATATTTTATACCTATTTAATACTATTTAAAGAGTTTGTGTAGAATACTTACTCGAAGTTGACCTAAGATTTCACCTAATCAAACTGTTTGCTAAAAAACCAATTAATTCTGTTTTCTCGAACAGAAATTCTCCGTTTCTCCATTTCGGCAAATGCTACAAAAAGTTCTATAGGTTAGACAGGATTTGCTTCTAGTCCTCTACTATGAATATTTTTATATAAATAATTACTAACAAACAATAATTTATAAAAACAAAGAAATGGGCATATACTTAGCTATTTCAAGAAACTTTCGGTTCTGTTAACGCCAGACTTTACTATCGACTCTAGGGTTGCAAATGCCTTGTATTCATTTCAAAGGCTTAACTCGTTGAGAATTGCAAGCAGTAAGCAACGAGAAAGTGAGTGAAGACGTAAAAGTTTCAATTATACTCCATATTTTGCTAGTTAATCCTCCAACTTTAGACAATAAATGCCACAAATAGTGCTCAACTCACGGACTTACTTAAACCTTGACTTACCCATAGCATCACTTGGAATCCCAATTAAAATTCAGTCTCGTAGCTACTGTCATATCGTTTAACTTGATTGCCTGCACGCAGGGTGCCAGAGGAAGAACTTAAGATAAATTAATTTATTGTATTTACATTCCTTGTGGCACGTGCAAAAACTTTTGCACAGCAATCGACCAATTTTTGGGCTGGGCATTTGCCGCACTTCGCACTTCCTTGCGCTGGTCAAATAAAGCACAAACATGGGCAACAATTGCTGGTGGGCACTTAAACAAGTTCAAAGTCGATACCAAATGGCAACAGACAGTGGCAGCCACTATGGCAGCATTGAAATCCTTTTTATGGTGCTGCTCAAGTACTGACAGCCCACGCAGGACGACTACCAGGACGACGTCGTTGACATGCTCGCAAAGATAAATTTCACTTAGCGGAATATAAATAAAGTTTTTTGGACACCCAAAACGTTGTTGAGGGCCCCGCGGAAAGCCAGCCAAGTGACGGCATATTTCATCAAACATCCCGAGGCGGTTTTTCTCCATACACTCACAACGGGTATTATGATTAGGTCGCAAAGCGTGGTTGGCATTGTTGGTGGGAGCTAGGCAGCCATAAACTAAACTAACATATGTAAATAATAATTATTTTATTAACAATTTATTGTATTTTGTCGATAGATCGAGATTCGAAGCTTAAACCTTGTTATTCAGCTAGCAAAAGGAATACTACAATTCGCCTATTGAGAAGTGCATCATCATTTCTCAGCTTTCAGGCTGTCTTGAATACATTTCGTATATATCTTTCTAATGAATCGGAGAACTATATCGTACTGCTAACATAGTTTTATTTGGTTGAAGATGAAGTTCTTGTAGGTTTCTGAAGAAACAATAATAAATAATAAAATTTTATTCGATTTATCGGGCTACAGTCAGAATTAATTGAAGGAAAACCCTTAGCTAGATGTTGTTTCATGTCCCCATATCATTATATAATATCTATCAGTGTATTCCTGTAAGGATATTTCAAGTTTGCCTCTGCCTAACTTGCGATTTTTTTTCGCACCGCCTCCTGCTCCAGCATTGTTTGTCTTGCTCAGCGTAGTCCTTGGGCTCGATGCTTTGCTGTACGTCATTGTAAATTTCGCGCCTATTTTGTTATCCTGGCGGAGAGGATGCCAAAGGGAATAGCTTAGCATTTGACTGCCAGCACCTGCTTTAGCTAAATGGGCTGTGCCATGCGGCGTATACGCGATTCGTGCTCATGTTAAGTTCAGTTGCCTCCAAGGAAATAAATATTATAGAAATAATAAATATAGCATATTAATTTCTAGACTTTTGCATTTTAAATGCAATTTTCTGCGGCTTTTCCATGTATCGTCCTCTTCCACTTTCCTTTCCACTTCCTCTTCCAGTTGCTACATTACATTGGCCCAGGCGCTGACGCTTAGTATGGGCGGCGCACCGTGCGGACCGGCGGGCACGGGCAAAACGGAAACAGTGAAGGATATGGGCAAGACGTTGGCCAAGTATGTTGTCGTTTTTAATTGTTCCGATCAAATGGATTACAGGTAAAACGCCCACCACGCCAAATGTACTTAAAATGCAGCCCACATCGCTGGGCAACAACTCATTCAATTTCGCACAACTCTCTCTTTGTCCAGGGGTCTGGGACGCATCTACAAGGGTCTGGCGCAGTCCGGCAGCTGGGGCTGTTTCGACGAATTCAATCGCATTGAGCTGCCCGTTCTCTCTGTGGCCGCCCAACAGGTGGCCGTTGTCCTCACCGCCAAGAAGGAGAAAAAGAAAACATTCCTATTCACGGATGGCGACACCATCGAAATGAATCCCGAGTTCGGCATCTTCATAACCATGGTGAGCATTTCCAATTACACTCTTTTCTACACTATCTATCAGCCCTTGGTGCCTAGTTAATGAGTCTTCTAATTCAACTAGCGCACTTTATCACGCACTCAACTCAGCTCAATTGCATTTGCTTCAAATTTTAATTTACTTTACACTTATTTGATTAAACTGCATCGCAAATTGCAACCGTCGCATACCTTGTGTGTGAGAAAGAGTGTGTGTGTGTGCAGACTTTGACAAACTCAAGTAACATATTTTGCATTATTATCTACCAGTTCAATGAACAGTCCATTTATATAGGGCATAAATTGATCTATTAATATTTTGATTATGCCCAGCACACAGCACATAAAAATCTATATAAAGGGTATCATAAAGCTTGCCTAATTTTTATATGGATATATAAGAGGCAGCAGTCTGTAATATGTACTTAAATTTATTTTTAAATAAGGCATCTTATCCCTTTGTCTGGCTGAATTTCATGTCCTTCGTATCCATTAAAGCTGAGACACCAAAATGTGTACTTGGTACATAGATAATGTGCACTAAATATAGCCTGACGTGGACTTTTAAATGTATCAAATATAATTAATGCTCACGACTTCAGTCTTATCCCAAACTAGTGTCAATAAAATCATTTTTTTTTGTCAATATGTATTTTGGTTTATTGAAAATTTACTAGAGCATATTAAGGGATTGCAACTGAAACCTGTTTCGAACCGTGAACATTTCTTATTGCTTGCCATAATAAATGCCAGACAATTTTGCAAAAGCTTTTTTTCAGTCAAGCCAAATTTAAAAACCAGACAAAAAATGCAACACATTCAACAAAAAAAAACAGGCCAAAAAGATGTGTCAAGCGCGAGGCTTTCAAGCCAAATTGATATTTATTAAATATACATATAGGTTCTAGTTAAAAAAAAAAAAAATAAAAAATACAAATTGTTGCAAAGAAGCGTCAGCAAGCTCTGAAAGCATAAAAAAGCAAACACATTAATGTCGCTTAAGGGGGAGGGGGGGGGGGGGGGGTGAGGGTGAAAGAAAGTGACAGCAGCTTTTGCAATGCGGCGTTATTAGTCATGTGAAATTTTGCTCAACTTAAGCGATAATAAAATTAACAGGCAACACACACACACATACACAGACACAGCCAGCTAGACATGTATTTACTTTGGGCCACATTTGCATTGGGCTAGCCCGTATACAAAATGTGATTATTCCTGGCTTTTAGACGAACTAAATGGCTTATTCACAGACAGCCAAAAACTGGCGAGTGCCGTATTTTAATTACCAACGTTGGCAACTATCAATGGGTAATGTGCTTAGCTGCTGCCGACTAGTGATAAAGCCACAACTCTTATATAATGTGCACACACACACACACACACAGTGGCTGACAATGGGGCAGGTTTTGGCTGGCGCTGGGCATTCGGGTCGTATGCGCAATTTTAATTTGCTTAACTGAATTATTGGTCGCATTTATGTAACATTTTTAGCCCCTTTAGCGTGCATTTTGATTCTGATGAAACATTATGTGACAGCTAACACACATAAACACACCCACACCCACGCACACACACACACACACCCTGTCGCTGTCGCTGTGTGTGCGTCCCAGTTTATTGGCTAAATCCTTTGTTGTGGCTGCCTTGCTTATTTCTGTAGGCAACACCCAGGCAGGCAGCTTGTCACATGAGCTTGCCACGCCCCATCAACCCATGCCTCCCTTGCTCCTCCAACGCATGGACACTGTTTACATTTGGATTAGCGTACCGCAAAATCGATTGGGGCTATTTTGTTTAGTTTTTTTTTTTTTTTTTTATATAGCTAGTTTCTGAAATGCTGCTCATATCAAATGTCCCCGTAAGTTGACAAATGAGTTTTCACTTTTGGTTAACATGGGACAGCTTTTCCGTCTAACAAGTTGATTGCTTGTCTAGATTAGATTCCCCCAATTTAGCTATAAGCACTTGCTACTAATTTGATGGGTTATGCTGGCAATCGAATATCATTTAAAATCAACTAAAGTCCGGTTCTCAACTTTTTAGAGCAGTGCACATAGATTGCTTTTAAGGATGGATTATAAATGAGCGCAAATTTTTTTTATGGCAAATTTAGTTCGACTTCCATATCCAATCCATTTATATACACAAAGAGAAAAGAAATGATGAATTTCGTACTTGAATCAAGTAAACCCGGTCATAAAAGTTTGGTAAGACCGGTAATACTTGATTCAAGTATGAAATTCTTATTTCATGTATTAATTTTGAAGTACGAAAATACTTGAATCAAGCTTTGTTTGTTACGTATTTTTAGCCTTATTACGCTTATTTGAGGAACGGAATAGTATTGAATCAAGTTTTAATGATTCTTAATATAACACCAATATGTCCTCAATAGCATCCCAGTTTGAGCTTGAAATAAGTTTATATAAATCTTGATTCAAGGTTGTATTCAAAATACTTGTATTAATCACATTTTGGCCTTTAATTAAGACCAATTTAGTCTTTAAACTAGATTCATACTTAACTCAAGGATTTTTTTTATATCGATTCGGGCTCAAAACGTTACAAATTTTTTGGTATAGAAACAAGTACAAAAAGTCTTGTGATTAGCCCGCCGTTTTTCTCTCTGTGTATTTATCCATATAAATATCTTTACTTTCATACGAGTTCTTCAATTGCACAGCTTTCATTTTTAATAAAAATCCCATCAGGATTCCTTTCAGCCAGCCTTAGTCTAAATAGAATGTAAACCATTATTTTTTATGAATACTTTCTTTCAAATTGTAAAGTGCATGACATACTCTAACTATATTTCATTCCCTAACAATCTCTTAGCTCGCGAACTGACAGACAGCCAGACAGACAGACTGACTGACTGACTGACTGACTGACTGACTGACTGACTGACTGACTGACTGAATGAGTGGGAAGCGCATAAAGTGCGAGTATGATAAATCAATTTGTATTTGATAAACTTATTGATGGGTGCGACTCATGCGATTCGCTCGCAGATGCATCAAAATGTACCACCAGGTGGTTGAGTAATGGCTGCCAGGTGGAGAGAGGGGCGAGGGTCGGATGTGGAGGGGATTTGAGAGGTGTGTGTGTGTGTGTGTGTGTGTTTGTGGTTTTATCGTACTATGTATGTGTGTGTGTGAGGATTTTACGTAAACCGTGCACAATATTTGCAAGCATTTGCTATTTATTTACTCGACACACAGCCATAAAGCAATAGAAACTTGTGTAAAGCGATTTTAAATGTTTACCCACGTGGCATACAGAATCCTGGATATGCTGGTCGCAAGGAGCTGCCGGAGAATTTGAAAATTCAATTTCGCACGGTGGCCATGATGGTGCCGGATAGACAGATAATCATAAGAGTTAAATTGGCTAGTTGTGGATTTTTGGAGAACATAACGCTGGCACGCAAATTCTATACCCTGTACAAGCTGTGCGAGGAGCAGCTAACCAAACAGGTTCACTATGATTTCGGTCTAAGGAATATATTATCGGTGCTGCGCACATTGGGCGCAGCGAAGCGCCGGAACTCTAAGGATAGCGAGAGTACGATTGTGATGCGGGTCCTGCGCGACATGAATCTATCCAAGCTGATAGACGACGATGAGCCATTATTCATATCGCTCGTGTCGGATTTGTTTCCCAATCAGGTGGGCTAAAAATCGATGTCTATACATAATGTATGTTTTACAAAGTTTTCCAAATCAATTTCTCTTACAGACTCTCGAAAAGACCAACTACCCTGAATTGGAGGCAGCTATACTACAGCAAACGGAAGAGGCTAGTCTGGTCTACCATCCTCCATGGGTTCTAAAGCTAATACAGCTGTATGAGACGCAGAATGTGCGACACGGCATCATGACTCTGGGCCCCAGTGGCGCTGGCAAAAGCACCTGCATCCACACCCTAATGAAGGCCATGACACAAATGGGCGATAGCCATCGTGAGATGCGCATGAATCCCAAGGCCATAACGGCGGCTCAGATGTTTGGACGCCTCGATGTGGCCACCAATGACTGGACCGACGGCATCTTCTCGGCGTTGTGGCGGAAGACGCTCAAGCTAAAAGCTGGCGAGCATGTGTGGCTGGTTCTGGATGGCCCTGTGGACAGCATTTGGATAGAGAACTTGAACTCTGTTCTGGATGATAATAAGACCCTTACCCTGGCCAATGGCGATCGGCTGACCATGGCACCTACGGTTAAGATCATCTTTGAGCCACATAATATTGATAATGCGTCGCCGGCAACGGTTTCACGCAACGGCATGGTCTACATGAGCTCCTCCGGCCTGGATTCTCGACCGAGTAAGTTTTTCAACTACTTAGTAAATAGCTTGCTTTTAATCACACTTTTGAATCCGGCAGTTGTTCAGGCTTGGCTCAAGAATCGTGCGCCTGGTGAGAAGAGCACGTTCTCCCATCTCTTTGAGCAGACCTTCGTCGAGGTCTACAATTGGGGTGCACAGAATGTGAAGCTACAAATGCCTGTGCTGCAGTGCAACATAGTGCAGCAGATGCTGTTTATATTGGAGGGTCTAATACCCTGCAAAAAGGATGACGAGCAGGCTGTCAGCTTATCCAGCAAGGAGAGTCAAGATGGTAAGTTGTTATTGAAAGCGAATTAGCCCATAGCAGCTATACCCATCCAAAAATATTCAATCATCAGCGGCCAAGCGTTTCGAGCATCAAAAACAAATCGAAGAAGCGCGACGGCAATCGATTGGCAGTCAGATTGTCGGTAAAGTATACAATCCGTAATACCTAATAGATAAATTTAGAACGTAAAACTGTTCTCGTAGAGCTAACTTTCTATCTAAAATCGTTAAAATTAACTCCGCTAAAAACTACTCCCTAAATAATCCTACTAACTGCACCCTCCTAACTATTCCATGTGTATTCAGGAAAGGAAATCGTCGTTTGTCTTTCAAATGTATCCTACACTAGATTAAATGTTTTCACTTGCTCTTTAATTTGGTGACTAAGCGTATTTCATGGGTATTTAATGTAATTCTATCATGATTTTAATTAGTACTGGTTACGTTTTGATACAAACTCGCTTTTCCTTCCCACCTTGTGTGCGTCCAATTGTTGTAGTTTGTATGTCAACCTGTGTCTCTGTCTTTCACAAACCCCTCCAATATTTGTGTCGTCTATGTGTGTCCGTATCTTAATGGAATATCTACAGTCATTCTAAATGATGAGCTTTACTTTAACAGACGATGTGCCCGATGAAAGCGCCGTGCAGGAGAAGGAGGATATGTGTACGCCGGAGCATTTGCAGCGCTTGTATGTATTTGCGCTGGCCTGGGGTCTAGGGGGTTATCTCTCAACTAGCGATCGCGTTAAGATGCATCTATTTGTTAAGGAATCGTTTCCGCAGTTGGACTACCCGAAGGGTAGTGCCCATGAGAATACAATATTTGACTTTTTCGTTTCTCCAACGGGCGTGTGGCAGTCGTGGAAGACGCTAGTCACACCCTATATGTATCCGGAGCTTTCCACACCGGACTATTTAAGCATTCTGGTGCCCATTGTGGATAATGTGCGTATCGACTATCTGATCGGCACAATTGCCAATCAGGAGCGCGCCGTGATGGTCATCGGCGAACAGGGCACCGGCAAGACCGTCATTATGAAGAACTTTATGAAGAAAATGAACATTGAGACCTACATGGGCAGGTCGTTTAATTTCTCATCGGCAACCAGTCCCTATCAGTTTCAGCGCACAATCGAAAGCTATGTGGAGAAGCGGGTTGGTGTCACATTTGGACCGCCCGGTGGTCGGAAATTGATTGTCTTCATCGATGACATTAATTTGCCCGAGATCAATGAATGGGGCGATCAGATAACCAACGAGATTGTGCGACAGTCCATGGACATGAAGGGCTTCTATAGCCTGGAGAAACCGGGCGATTTCACCACCATTGTGGATGTACAATATGTGGCGGCCATGGGCCTGCCCGGCGGTGGACGCAATGATATACCATCTCGCCTGAAGCGACAGTTTTGCGTATTTAATTGCAATATACCCGACAACGACTCCATTGATAAGATCTTCCGCGTTATCGGTGAGGGTCATTATAATGCCAAGCGCGGTTTTGTGCCCGAAGTTCGCAATCTGGTCAAGAAATTGATCCTGGTGACACGACATCTGTGGCAGCGCACGCGCGAAAAACTATTGCCTACGCCGGCAAAATTCCACTACGTATTCAGTTTGCGCGATTTGTCGCGTATCTGGCAGGGCATGGTTGGCACCTTATCCACAGTGATTACCGCGGAGAGTGTGCTCATGTCATTGTGGAAGCATGAGTGTACGCGTGTGTTTGCCGATCGTTTTACCACATTCCAGGACAAGGAATGGTTCGGCTCAGAGTTGGCGGCGCTAGTGCGCGAGGAGCTGGGCGAGTCCCATTCCCAAATGATAATACCGAATCCGGTATTTGTGGACTTCATGCGGGATGCCCCCGAGCCGACTGGCGAGGAGGGTGAGGACACTGATATGGAATTACCCAAAGTTTATGAACCGGTGAACTCTCATAACTCGTATGAAGCGCTTCGCGAGCGTCTCGTAATGTTTCTCGCCCAATTCAATGAGATGGTGCGAGGCTCCGGAATGGATTTGGTTTTCTTCCCAGATGCAATGCTGCATTTGGTGAAGATCTCCCGCATCATTCGGCATCCGAGAGGCAACGTCATGCTGGTCGGGGTCGGAGGTTCTGGAAAACAGTCGCTAACGAAATTGGCATCCTTCATTGCCGGCTACAAGACATTCCAAATTGCGTTGACGCGTTCGTACAATGTGGCCAACTTTTTAGAGGACCTAAAGCTGCTCTATCGCACCTGCGGCGTTCAGGGCAAGGGCACAACCTTTCTCTTCACCGATATGGATATCAAAGAGGAAGGTTTCCTCGAGTATCTCAATAATATACTCTCGAGCGGTGTCATATCAAATCTCTTCTCGCGCGATGAGCAGGCCGAAATCGTGCAGGAATTGACGCCGGTCATGAAACGCGAGAATCAACGCAAAACAGCGACCCCGGAAAGTGTGATGGAATTCTTTTTGGCGCGCACCTGCACCAATTTGCATGTGGCATTTTGTTTCTCGCCAGTGGGTGAGACATTTAGGTCGCGGGTGCAGCGTTTTCCCGCCTTGGTCTCCGGCTGCACCATCGATTGGCTGCATCCGTGGCCCAAGGACGCATTGGTCTCGGTTGCCAGACACTTTCTCAGCCACTTCGAGATTGAGTGTACACCGGCCGTTAAGGAAGAGCTTGTGAATGCGCTCGGCTCCATTCAGGACATTGTTGCTGAAACATCGCACGAATATTTCCAGCGTTTCCGTCGCGCCACTCACGTGACACCCAAATCTTATCTGAACTTCATTGCCGGTTACAAGAACATTTACCAGCTCAAGCAGCAAGAGCTGCGCGATGGTGTGGAGAAGATGGATACGGGCTTGGAGAAACTGAAAGAGGCCTCCGCCTCCGTTGAGATACTTAAAAAAGATCTAGTCGTCATGGAGGAAGAGCTTGTCGAAGCCTCCAAAAACGCTGAATCTGTGCTAGTTGAGGTTACCGAGCGTGCAATGCAAGCGGAGATAGTCAAGAATCAGGTTCTCATTGTCAAGGACAAGGCCGAGGCTCTCGTTGCATGTATTGCTAATGAGAAGGCCTTGGCCGAGGAGAAACTGGAGGCGGCAAAGCCAGCCTTGGAGGAGGCCGAGAATGCGCTTAACACTATCAAACCCGCTCACATAGCCACGGTGCGTAAGCTAGGTCGACCGCCGCATCTCATAATGCGCATCATGGACTGTGTGCTCATCCTTTTCAAACGTAAGCTGCATCCCTGCATACCTGATTCCGGTACACCGTGCCCCAAACCCTCCTGGCAGGAGTCGCTAAAGGTCAGTCACGTTCGCTTCCAAACTAATCCTTACTCCAGGCTATTCTCTGATAATCCCCAGATGATGGCTAGCGCCACGTTCCTGCTGCAGCTGCAGAACTACCCCAAGGATACCATCAATGATGAGATGATTGATCTGCTGCAGCCCTACTTTCGCATGGAGGACTACAACATGGATATGGCGCGTCGTGTATGCGGTGACGTTGCTGGTCTCCTTTCCTGGACAAAGGCCATGGGCTTCTTTCACAGCGTCAACAAGGAGGTGCTGCCACTGAAGTCAAATCTCACGTTGCAGGAGGCGCGCCTCAAGGTAGGTTTTGCTAAGTAGTCGAAAGTGAAAGCTCCATAAACTCGCACGCATTCTTCGCCAGCTGGCCATGGACGATCTGTCTGGTGCCGAGGAGCAGCTGCGCGAGCGCGAGGAAGCACTCCAGGCGGTCAAGGATCAGTACGACAAGGCCGTAGGTGAAAAGCAACGCCTTATGGATGCGGCAAATGTATGTCTGCGCAAGATGACGGCCGCCACGGCCCTTATCAATGGCTTGTCCGATGAGAAGCATCGCTGGACCAACCAGAGCAAGGAGTTCAAAATACAGCTGGGCAAGCTGGTGGGCGATGTACTTCTAGCCACAGGATTTCTCTCCTATTGCGGCCCATACAATCAAGAATTTCGAGCCAATCTAATTAGGACCTGGATGGGCATACTGAAGCAGAAGTGCATACCCTTCACCACAGGCCTTAACATTATCAATATGCTGGTGGACTCCTCAACTGTATCCGAGTGGACGCTCCAGGGACTGCCCAATGATGACTTATCCGTGCAGAATGCGCTAATTGCGACCAAATCGAGTAGCTATCCGCTGCTGGTGGATCCGCAGACGCAGGGCAAGATCTGGATCAAATGCAAGGAGGATCGCAATGAGCTGCAGATAACCTCGCTAAATCACAAATACTTTCGCACACATCTTGAGGACTCGTTGTCCCTGGGCAGGCCATTGCTTATTGAGGATGTGGGCATAGATCTGGATCCGGTTATAGACAATGTGCTCGAGAAGAACTTCATCAAGTCGGGCAGCATTGAAAAGGTGCTGGTGGGAGATAAGGAGTGCGATGTAATGCCTGGCTTTATGCTTTACATAACCACCAAGCTGCCCAATCCGGCCTTCAGTCCGGAGGTCAGCGCCAAGACCTCAATTATTGATTTCACAGTGACCATGCGTGGCTTGGAGGATCAGCTGCTGGGGCGTGTCATACTCATGGAGAAGTCCGATCTGGAAGCGGAACGAGTAGCGCTCTTCGAGACGGTCATGCGGAATCAGCGCAACATGAAGGAACTCGAGGCGAATCTATTGCTGCGCCTCAGCTCCTCCCAGGGCTCACTGGTCGACGATGAGGCGTTGATCGAGGTGCTGCGCGTAACTAAAACCACCGCCGAGGAGGTCAACCAGAAGCTTAAAATCTCTGAGGTTACCGAACGCAAGATTATGAAGGCGCGCGAAGAGTTCCGTGCGGTGGCAAAGCGCGGTTCCATACTCTATTTTCTGATTGTCGAGATGAGCAATGTGAATGCTATGTATCAGAATTCTCTGAAGCAGTTCCTGGTCATATTCAACAACTCAATTACCAAGTCAACCAAGTCCAGCGTCACCGAGGAGCGCATCAATATTATCCTACGCTATCTCACCTATGAGGTCTACAAGTTTACCAATCGCAGTCTCTACGAGCGCCACAAGCAGCTCTTCACCCTGATGCTGGCTATTAAGATTGATTACCATAATGGCAATATTAGCCATGAGGAATTCTTGACTTTTATCAAGGGTGGCGCCTCGTTGGATTTGAACGCTGTGGCGCCCAAACCATTCCGCTGGATTTTGGATATCACCTGGTTGAACTTGGTGGAGATTAGCAAGCTGGAAACCTTCGCCACGGTGCTGCAAATCATTGAGCTAAACGAGCGAGACTGGCGCAGCTGGTATGAGTGCGAAAAGCCGGAGAATGAGGAGATACCTTGTGGCTATAATGCTTTATTGGACAGCTTTCGCAAGCTGCTGCTCATACGTTCCTGGTGTCCGGATCGCACAATATCCCAGGCCAAGAAGTATATAGAAGGTATGTATTTGATTTCGGCATTCACCACGACCACTTCTAATGTTCCACTTGACACAGAATCCTTGGGACCCGAGTACAGTGAGATGCAAATCTTGGATTTGGAGGCTACCTGGGCCGAGTCGGAGCCACGCACACCTTTTGTCTGCCTACTGTCCATTGGCTCGGATCCGACTACACAAATTGGTGCACTGGCCAAGCAGAAGGGCATCAGTAAGTGTACTTATAGTACCAGCTTAAATCTATTTCATATTTATATCTTCCTTCGGCCAGCCCTTAAATGCGTTTCCATGGGTCAGGGTCAGGAGTATCATGCGCGCAAAATGATCATGGAGTCAATGGCCAATGGCGGCTGGGTGTTGCTTCAAAATGTGCATCTATCGTTGCCCTTCTGCTCGGAGGTCATCGATATGCTGGTCGAGACGGAGCACATTGATGATACCTTTCGCATGTGGGTCACCACCGAGCCACACTCGGAGTTTCCCATTGGCCTGCTCCAGATGGCGCTCAAATTTACTAACGAGCCGCCGCAGGGCATACGCGCCAGTCTGAAGCGCAGCTACCAGGTGAGTCCGTTGCTACACTGTACCCAATCTTATCTACAGCTCTCACCTTTTTTTTGTCATTCCTCTTTTGCAGTCCTTTACGCAGGACTTTTTGGACTACACCTCCGCGACGCAATGGCCTTGCTTGCTGTATACAGTTGCCTTTCTGCACACCATCGTCCAGGAACGACGCAAATTCGGTCCGCTCGGCTGGAATATACCCTATGAATTCAATCAAGCGGACTTTGCCGCTAGCGTGCAGTTTATACAGAATCATCTGGATGAAATGGATCCCAAGAAGGGCGTCTCCTGGCAAACGCTTGTCTATATGATTGGCGAGGTGCAATACGGCGGCCGTGTCACAGATGATTTTGACAAGCGCCTTCTGACCACATTCACCTCGGTGTGGTTCTGCGAACAGCTGTTGTCCAATTCCTTTGAATTCTACAAGGGCTACAAGGTGCCCAGCACAAAGAGTCTGCAGGGTTTCATCGATTACATCAATAGTCTGCCCGCCTACGACACGCCCGAAGTGTTTGGCTTGCATTCCAATGCTGACATCACGTACCAGATTAACTCGGCCAAAGGTGAGCCTGATTTCAATTTTTGTTTTTTTTTTGTCTCTTTTTTGGCACTTTAGGGAATTGAAATTAACGCTCGGTTTGTGTGGTCAGGTCAATGACATCACCTGTCAATGGTTTTCTGGTCTTTCATTTTCCACTGGGAGTCCCTCCAAGAAGGTTTTCAATACTTTAACTTCTTGCAGTTGAATTTATCATTTTTGGTTAGTTGTTTCAATTGATTTTTTGTTTATTTAACACCTTAAAGGTGTGGAAAAAATGGGTAAAGCGGATCTAAAAGACTTTCGAAGCTAGAATTTTGGATTATAGCTTCTCGCTTGCAGACATTTTCCAGGCTTGGTTTTTCAAGCATGTTTCGAAGATTATGATCTCTAAAGGTTGTAGTATTACAATAGTACTACCCACAGGGTATCTTGGGGTCGACCATAGATAGCTGTTAGTGATTTTCTATTAAACTATTTCAATCTAATGGCCTATTAATTAGTCGTGCCACACTTCATTTCTGTGACGTCAGCGCATAGAAAACCAGACAATAAATTAGAAATGCACTCGATTTAATACACAATTTGCATTTGAGTGCGTGGAAAGGTGTGTGTGTTCGCGTGTATGGTGTGTGTGTGCTGTGCTGTGTGAAACCGATATATAAATTCTATACATTTTAGTTGCGGAATTTGTGGCTTATTCCCAAAAGGTAAAACCAATCAGCGACCCACGCGTGCCATTTAACGCATTTGCGTAAGCAGCTCGCGGTCGACTCATTGTGTTTGTTCTCTGTTCAGAATGTGCAAAAGGGTATATTGGATGGGTGCCATGTAAACTTTAAATATATTCTCGTGTGCATACAGTTTTACGTCCACGTCTACAGTTTGAGAGTCACCCAGCCAATAATTTTTTATTTTCTTCCACTAAGAACAGAGTATTGGGCAGCCGAAACTTGTTATTTTTGTTGTTGTTGTTGCAGGCATACTCGATACCATACTTAGTGTGCAGCCCAAGGAGGGTGGCGGCGGGGGTGGCGAGTCCCGGGAAAGCATCGTCTATCAACTGGCCGAGGATATGCTGCGCAAGCTGCCGGCCCAGTACAATGAGTACGAGGTGCGTGAGAATCTGACACGCATGGGCATCCTGCTGCCAATGAACATCTTTCTCAGGTATGTTAGCCAAAAACGGGGCAGAGGAGGGCCGGAATTCCAGTCCAGTCCCGGTTTGATTAACCTACTTGTCTACGTTTTTAGGCAGGAAATCGATCGCATGCAACGCGTCATCAAACGCGTCCACACATGCTTATGCGATCTGAAGCTGGCCATAGATGGGACCATTGTGATGAGTCCGGCGCTCAAGGAGTCACTGGATGCCATGTATGATGCCCGTATACCGGAGACCTGGATGAAGGTGTGTGTGTGTGTGTGTATTAAATTAGAGCACAATTTCCGCACTAGCATTTGCTTTAACTTTAAGTGTGGGCACATTTTATGGTCTCTCAGGTGCCGGCCAGCTGTATCCAGTTTATGCACAGCTCGTGGTGTCCCGCAGAGAAACGTGGCCGAAAGTAATCTCAACGTGCGATTTGCTCAGCGTGGGCCATTGCCTGGTTTTTTTTTATTTTATTGTCTCACGAGATTTTTATCGGCGCACAAACAAATTTGGACCCGAAACTGGGCACAGAGCTGCCCAAATAAAAGTTTATATAACATATTATATATATCTTATATACGATACTATATATAGCATATAAACAGCTCCTGCTGTCCCAGTGCTTGGTCTGTTTAGGCGGCTGCCTAAATTGTTGCCGCTCTTTCAATTGCCGCTTATAAAATTTTGATTGATTTTGCGCGCTGCGTCTTGGTCCTTTAATATTTATGCGTGTAAACCTTTAACGCCTCGCCGTACCTTCTTTAATTGACACGCGGTTTAAGAGGTGGGCAGACGATTGTGGGATATTTTTTCATATTTGGGGTGGTCTTTTTTTTTTTTACTTGGGTTAGGTCAATAATTTGCCAACTCAGTTGGGGGTTGGGATCAAAGCAAATAAATGTAGCAAATTACCTATGATAATACTGTGAGATAATTGCCGGCATTTTGGTGGTCGATTTTGGGATGAAACGATGTGTGAATCATTGGATAAATTGGATGAGTTTTGAGAGCAAATTATTAAATATAATGGGTTAATTGAATGCAAGTTTCAAAAATTGGTATATTAAAGAGTTTGAAAAAAAATCGTTAATAAAGTATTAAGTACTATAAATCTATTAAAAGATAGATTCATTATTAAAATGGATTTGATTGTGCCTTTACAAAACAAATAAAGATAAAAAGCAAGCGTTGAGAGATTCAAAAAAAGCCAGATTGTAAATATAGGGAGACATAAATTCAGTTCTATTCCTTTATGGAAGTAGTTCACATCACAAAACAAATAATACACATACAAAATACGAGCAGTTGAATCAAAAGAAGCGAATCGTAAATTTTGTATATTTCTTTTTGACGGTATTTAGAGCACCTGCCTATAATTTCTTCAAGTGCATTTAATACGTAGATATTTATAACAGCTTTAGCTAACCAATTCAATTGCGAAAATGTTGAAGCGGACTGGACAGAAATCGCTCGAAAAACCTACAGGCTTCACCGAGCCGAAGCGCCTGGTTTTCAGCAGGGAAAATTTGCAGGTCACCTCACGTATGCCGATGGGAAATCGTGATTATGGATACATGAAGACCAACAAAGGGGTCACTCTGTTTCCAAAGAAAACGAATCTCTTCAATCCACAAATGCTGACGGACCGTCTGCGTGGTGTCCAACCGAGTTCAGTTTCCCCAATGATGTCTGGTAATGTCACGAAAACAATGATTTCCATTGACTTTTCATTCGAGAAACCACAACAAACCCCTTTGCGCAATACGGAAACGTTGTTTGAAATGAAACGAAAGCGGTTCGATGAGGGCGAATTCACAATAACTCGAGGCAAGAAATTGGGCGAAATGCTTCATCCAAATTGAATATGAGCTGCCTGAGCTGGACTCTCAGCAGCATGTCATGCAAGAGATGGAAGGGTTCTGTCGTACCACAAATATCAAGATAAGCAAGGGCTTAGACTTTTAGATACAAATATAACACTTTCTACACCACAATACATATATCAGCCATATGCATTTATGTGTATTTGCATATTTTCAATAAACTGGGAATTATTTGTCCCTTGCATCGAAGAGTTCTGGTAATTGTTATCATGTCACTTTTGCCTTTCAGATATCCTGGGAGTCCACAACGCTTGGCTTTTGGTACACTGAGCTGTTGGAGCGCAATGGACAATTTCGTAATTGGATATCTACGGATCGTCCAAAGGTAAGTCCCTATCTAATAGCCTCTCCCATTTCCCCTGTCAGTTGACATTAACTTGGGATAAACTTTGCAAGCAGACTCGCTAATTGCTTAATACTTTTTGTTGTCCTTTCATCTTTTTCTTTTTTAATGTTTGTGAAAATTCATCAACGAAAACGTTTAAAAAAGGTATTCTGGATGACGGGTTTCTTTAATCCACAAGGTTTTCTGACCGCCATGCGGCAAGTGAGTATAAAAAGAAATCAAAATAATTTGCATTTGTTGCCATTTGCTATGAAAACGTATTTGAAATAAGTTCTTGAATAACAAGAACAAACATGTTAGCGCAAAAGAGTCGGACACAAGCCGGAAGAACCTAAGAGGACTTAATAGCTATAGTTAAGCTGGATAATAAGCTATTCCTAGTTGTTGGGACACTCCTCTCAACAATTACCGCATACGTGGCGTGTTTCTTGCTCGAGGGATATGATAAACACTCAACTTTAAAACGTGTACGATGCATTTTAAAGCGCTCTACTTAAAGATACCCAGTGAATTGTATATACATGCCCTACTTAAAGATACCCAGTGAATTGTATATACATGCCCTACTTAAAGATACCCAGTAAATTGTATTGTTAGGTTACCCTTGATGCATACAAATTATAACAAAAATAATAAATTACAGACCTTGCATTGATTTTTGTATATTGGTTGGCTCGATGTCAAGTCAACATTCTCACAAAATATGTTAGTTAAATATCTGTAAATTATACTATGTAAATAACAAAAAGTTACATTCCTGTCACATCTAAAAGAAACTATGTTCCTCTAACCATTTATTGATATTCAATATGCTTCAAGTTATTCACACATTTGTGCAATTATTTTGTCCTCTTTTTTATTATTTGCCACAACTTGGGCGCTGGCTTGTATATATATTGTTGGTGCTTACTGAACTGCTGCTGGTTTGGCATTGCGTATACGCCGCGTGTGCCGCTGGAATTGTCAGGAGGTAACACGAGCGCACAAAGGCTGGGCACTCGACTCGGTTGTGCTGCAGAATCAAATAACGCGATACAACAAGGAGGACATTACCGAGTATCCCACAGAGGGTGTATACGTGAATGGACTCTTTCTGGAAGGTAAGTATCAACACCTACCACCTTTACCGCCGCGCGTTATCTTCTTCTCATTCAAATGCCATTCACAGGATCTCATTTGTATTTGTATATATTGCACCTAATATATCCGCATTCGCCATATACATATATTTATATATATTATTTGCTTTACAATGTCATCTTTTTCCTTAGTCCTTGGTCTAGGTTCATGCCCTTTTGTTGACCCCACAAATTGGTGCCGGCTTGTTTGTGCGGCTTCTATCCTTCTTGTTATTATTTTTTTTTTCTTTTGCTCGACTAAATTCTATGTGTGATAATACGAATGTTAAAGGCATAATTTGCGTTGCGTGCGTTCTGCTTATCCTGCAGATCTTTGTTGTGGTCAGCTGTTGATTAGCTGGGGGCGTGGCAGACCCAAAAGTTGTCGAATTTTCCAACGAACAGCTAAACGAGCGCCTCCTTTGTGCATATTTGTCACATATTTTACATGTACATAGTTGCTAGAATGGCTATTTACCACTTTTTTGTCATGCGCGTTCCAGTTTTTGCGGCTTCTTTTTAATTGTGTGCAAAAGAACTTTTAAACTTTACAAGCGTCACGTTTAAATTAAATTATTAAGTTAAATCTGGAAAGCCAAACCATTTAAGTGAGCTCCTTGGTTAAATGTATTCCCTGAAATATAATGCCAAGTCACAATTGGAGAATGTAACTCTTGTAAATCAAAGCTTAATAGAACTTAATATATATTATATCTTAAACATTTCCCTCAACTTCTATTTGTAGTACAGGGTATCTTCATTGCATTGTTAATGGATTTTCTCAGGTGTTTTTACAACTTATTCAGCACACAAAGCTTTGTATTTTCAATAGATCTATCTATACAATAGCCAAAAAACTTGCATTGAATGCTCGAGCGATAGATAAGTGCCAACTAGCAGTTCTCTAATGGCTTATACGTGACGTAATAAGACAAATTCAGTGCATTTCCAGCTGAATTCAACAATGTTGGCATTTGCATAAATCCAACTGCAGTGCCAAATGCGTGTGCACAATTGGCGGCAAAATTAAATAACACATACGCAGCGTGGTACACATATCTAGTCTAATGTATATTTTCTATGGTACATAAGTTTTGTCTGTCCTTTACACGTGCCCCGCCAATGGGGACAATTAGAATGGGGTCTTCTCCTGGCCCGTCTATTAAAACACGGCAATCTTGTTGCCAGGCTAATAAAAACTTGGGGCCGCAAAAATGGAAAGCACATGCGTGGGCCCCTGACACATATTCCCCGAACGTTGGGCCCAACTTTATGCTGGCCAACAAATTAACATGGCCACAATTAGGTGTAAGCATAATCTGGCGTGGATTTAAACATTGGCTTTTTATTGTCTTTTATTGCAGGCGCCTCACTGGATCGACGCAGCGGCAAGCTGATTGAGTCCAAAATGAAGGTGCTCTACGAACAAATGCCTGTTATATATATATATGCCATTAACACAACCGCCGGCAAGGATCCCAAGCTGTATGAGTGCCCAATTTATAGGAAGCCGCAGCGCACCGACCTCAAGTATGTGGGCTCCATTGATTTCGAGACCGATTTCAATCCCAAACACTGGACACTGCGCGGCGTTGCGTTGCTCTGTGACATCAAATGAAGAAGTAAAACACAACCACACACACCATCCACTTGCTGTCCCTGTCATTGTTTGTTCTGCTGTCGACTGCTTTGTACGTGCCTCGTACTCGTAATGGTACTGTGATAATTATCGTTTTTGGGAGTCCTATTCCTATTCCTATTCCCATTCTTTTGGCCCCTATGACAGGGAGTCCGGGCACTGTCTCGTGTAGGAGACGTCAGAGATACAACAAGTTTATTAATTATGCCCTCGAGCTATTCAAGTGGCAGCCCCAAGGGCACATCCATCGTACACCATAATTAGCTGTTGGCCCATGTCTAGAATTACGCCTAAGTGTTTTGGCCACAATCTACACTTCAAATACACTTGTCAACTGAAAATAAACGTTTCCCCCCTCTTTACTATCTAGCATGGCTAAATGAATTTTTTATTATGCTTTCGGGGAAATTTGTTTTAAAATAAGTTCGACATAGCAAATATAATAGCTGGTAAGAAAGAGACATCAAACAGCTTGTGCGCTGAAATAAATGTTCTTTTTGGACTTTTCAGTTAATCAATAGATGCTTAAAGCCGCAATTATATTACTTCCAGTACGAGGATGGAAAAAATGACTAGTTTTGTTAGATTTAAGTCTGTCTAAGTGTGTTCTTCAAGAAATCTTGGTTCGATCCCCTAGGATAGAAGTTTTCAAATTTGGTTTTATTCTTGAATCGCAGCCATTAAAAATCAAGCTTCTTGGAATTGAATGCCGTTTTCATATTTTGTGTTTTTTATTCACTGGTTTCATTAAAATAAATACATACATATACATGCGTACATATACGATTATAATCCATGTAGTATATAAACATTTATATATATAGTTTTGAATTTCAAATCATTTGACTTCGCGTTTACATTCATTTATTCAGCTTTATTTAGGTATGAGAAAAACGTTTATTTACATATAGAAAATAATCTTTGTTTCCTTTTCGTTTTGCATAAAACTCATAAATTTACATAAGTGTGTGTGTGTGTATGGTAGCGTATTCGTGTGTCGACTCGATCCATTTACAACACATAGCTTTAATATATATATTTATATATATATATAAATATTTGTTTATCGTATATATGTAGATAGTTTAATTGAGTTTTAGTTTTCACATGCATAAGTTTAGGTTAGGATTAAGTAGCTCATCTACATTAAAATCGTTAGTCGTATTTTTTTTGTATGATTTGCAACCATTTTTTGTGTCTTTAACATCTTTCTTAACTCTGTTATAACTTTCGTATTTTAACTAAAGGAAGAAAGGAATGAAAATAATGATATAATATGCCTGATTGGGTTGACAGTCGCATTCAGATTTGACAGTAAGTTTTGACTGTGTGATATCTTTAAGGTTTTTACTATTGTAAGTATTCTTTAAAATTCAATTGGAACAATTTATTTTTCATTTTGAGCATCTGAACATTATAAGTGTATATTCTTTTGAAAATGCTTAAAAAATATTAAACTAAAAGAAAATACGCATTCCGCCAGCGGAGAATTTAATAAACTGCTGTTAAAGAAATCAAATTCAGCATAGTTAAAGTTAAAAATTTTAAATTTCATTATTTAATAAATAAATATTAAACTCAATAGCTGAAGCATTTTATATATATATGTATTTAAGCATGCATATTGCACTTTATAATATTTATTTAAAAACTACACATGTTATTTACTTTTATTAATCAACATCATTTATGCTATTAAACATATTCATATACATGTATATATATATATATATTTATTTATTTTTTTTGTTAGTATTCTTTATTATATATTTTTTTAAGTTTTTTTGCTAGTCAATAAATACAATTGTTGAGTATAATTACGTTGTGTTAAGGGAACGTTCGTTTCATGTGGTTTTTTTTTATATATTTTGTTTAAGTGGAGCATCTGAGAAAGAGGTAGCACGAATCGTTACATAAACCATTTAGTCACAAATACCGAGGCGAAATTCAAATAGTAAGTGCGAGTGTGAGCTTTGTGTACATTTAGCAACAGGTCGCTTAAAGGGGGGAGGATTTGATTATCGGAGGGTTGCACACACAATATGCCTGCCTTATAGCCAGCCATTAGGAACCGTCAATTTAGCAACTACTAACATCTAGTTAAACTCTAAAACTGTTTGCTGTATCTGTAACAGTGTAACAGTGTCTGTGTGTGTTGTGTATCTGAATCTGTATCTGTATTTGTATCTGTATCTGTATCTGTATCTGGGTCTGCATCTGCACTTGTATCTGTATATTTAGCTGCTGTCACTTAATTAGCATAGTGTGGATTTTTGTGCATGCGATAGATTAGACGCCAGGGCAGCCGTCCATTTGCATTTGCCGCTTCTAGGGGTCTGTCCATATCATTCATCGGCGGCTGCTCGTTGGCCCAGTTCAAGTTAAGCTCATCCAACATTTCGTTCTCGTCCTCGCCGGTATCCTCTTGCTGCTGCTCCTCCTCCTCCTCCATGCCAGCCAGAAGGCTTGCTGCGCTTTTGCGAATGCCGTTTAAATGATTTGTTTCGTTTGCAATTTCATTTCCGTTTGGCTGCTGATGTTTGGCCACGCCCTGGCCGTGGGTGCCGGCGTTTAGGGATTTGTTGGCATCGTCGAGCAGCTGCTGCTGTTTTGCCAGTGGCTGCAGAAAATCAAAAAACCGTGAGGCAGCTATCGCCGAGGAGGAGACCGGAGAGATTGCTGGGCTGCCAGCGACAGAGCCGGCGACAGAGCCGGAGTCGGTCTGCGGCCAGCCGTAGCTCCAGAGTTGACTGGGGAAATGCTGCTGCTGCAGCTGCTCGCGACGCAGCAGCTCACGCTGTCGCTCCAATTGCTGCTGCTGCTGCTGCTGGTAGCGGCTGTTGCCCCAAGTCGCCGGCTCCAGAAACACACGCTTACCCACGTTCTTCAGTATGGCCCGATTCAATTCAACCTGTGCGCAGGGTGTGAAAAGTAAAGAGGGAAAACGTTTGACATTAAAGGAAATGAGTAGAGGGAATGTTGCGAGTAATTCGCAATGTGTGCCACGCCACAGCTCCCCCCCCCACACAGGCACATGCACAGCATAAATATTTAATTTAACACACTGTCAATTAGATTTATGCTCTAATTTAATTATTTTTAATTGCAATTTAAACTTACAGTTTTCTCAAATTTCAGTTTGTTAATTTCCTGTCTAAATTAATGAACATTTTTTAGTGTTAAATTTAATGCGTCTTCAGCTGAATTATTTGCAAAGAATGTTTACTTGCCAACTCCAAAAAGTACGCTACGAATTGTGCTCAATGGATTCGCCTGAAAAGTATGCTACAATACTTGAATCGGGCAAGAACAGTAAAATAAATACTCCGTGCAGCTAACTGTTTATTTCACCAGATATATGTCGAGTATATGCCGCATAGGATAGATAAATACAAATAAATAGTCATGCTAGCTTATCTCTCGTTATTATTAAGATTCTTCTGCCCTTAACCAAGGAATATAATCAGTTATTTATACAATTTATATGGCAAAAAGATGATATTCAGATACGTATGGATATATATTCAAAATCAAGGTAACACCTCAAAATCTAATTTAATTTTTTAAAAAAAGCGAACATATTTTTTATCTGTGACAGAAGAACAAACATAATTAATTAGGTATCACAAGTTCTTTCAATCTACGAGATATTCGAAGGGAAATGGAAAAAAGCGATATTTATCGATTTTGGACAAATGCGGGAAGTAATGTAACTTGTTCTGCGTTTAATATAAAATATATTTATTTAATAATTTATTTAAATAAATAATATTTCTTACCATATTTGAATATTTATTTATTATTCAAAATCGAATTATAAATATTCTCTTTGTTCAATCATTATATTAAGTACAAAAGTATTATAGGCAATCACTGCCTATAATTATAAAACTTAATTGCATTTATACAATAGCTGTATTATCAACGTTCTTATCAGCCAACAATTGGCAGTTAGTAATCGGAATACCCCATGAGATAGTTTTCAAGTGCGACGTACACAGAAGTGATAAACTTGAGGAACTGCAGTTTGTGTTGTTATGTTATGACGACTTAAATTGCTGCTAGATAAAAGAAAAACAATTTAGTCACTTTTTGGGATATTCCCTGGAATGTCTGGGCGCGATAAGATTATAGCAACATGTATCGCATGCCTGGGAATTCTGTATTTCCACAATTGGGCCCAGTATTATAAAAGCCACCAAGAAAGCCAAATGCTCAAACAGTAACAACCAACAATCCAACAATGAAAGCTATAGCAATTACAGTGCTGGCAGTTAGCCTTTTGGTGGTGCTAGTAGCAGCCCAGCCACAAAGGTTTGGCCACGACGGAGCAGTTGAAGAGCAGAGGCCACCCAGGGAAGGCGGCGAGGAGCAGCGGCCAGTGGGCCCTCCAAGCAGTGATGAGGACTCGAATGGTGAGTCCTTCGACCTCGTTCTTAAGCGATCTATTTTATTTTTCTGGTATTCTTTTAGAACGGCCGGACAAGCGACCAGGCCATGGTCAGCGTCCTCCTCAGGGCCAGGATCAGCGTCCGCCGCAGGGACAACGTCCTCCTCACGACCACGAGCAGCGTCCACCACACGGACATCGTCCCCCACATGGACATCGCCCCACACCACCGCCTCAGGAGGATAGCACCACAATTGAACCCGAAGATTCTACCACAGCTGAGCCTGAGGACTCGACGACCTTGGCGCCTGAGGAAAATACTACACTATAGAATACTAAATACTCTCCAATATATATGAAAATATTTCTTTTTGAATACTTTATTAAATGAATCACAATTTGTTATTTAAGCACACACGAGTATTCCCGCTTTTCTACACCCACAGCTCAATTATTCGAGTGCACTGAAGAGTTTTCTCGCATTCATTCCCTTTGACAAATCAATATACAATATGATTCGACATGTGTAAATGGAGCGCACAGCCTCTGCTCGGTCGGGATTTTTTGTTGGAGAGGCACCCAAGGGCCAAATCGTTTGAATTCCTGCCATTAAATCGTTTGATTTTCTTGCCACATTTTACCTTGCGCCGTGGGGTGCATCAACATTTTGGTAACCAAATAAATTTCGCTTTGTTGCCAGGGTGAAATATTTATATTACGCATACGACGCGTTGCTTTCCTCATACACGCAAACAGGATGCCACTAAGCCTTTGCTTGTTGGCTGCCAACAGCCTTAAGCTCCAGAAGCATTTTATTTTCTACCCTGTACATGTTAAATATTTGGCATGCTATGCTATAAGGTTTCAAAGAAGTTTTCTTAAGTTTTAAGCCAAGGCTCAAATGATGTTCCTTATGAAAATTGGTTCAGTTTTGAACCGATTTGTCGATTTCTAAGAAGCATATTTTGATTAGAAATAAGATTAAATATTTATTAAATATTTATGCATCTTTATGTATTGCAGAAGTATAACTATTTAAGCGAGTGTATAATAGGTCAGTTTTCAGGCAGAGGTCAGAGGGCATCTTCAAGTCATTCACACCCGTTCACACTTTCCAGCTTATATCAGCTTTCCTTTTGATATCTACCTATGTGTTATTTACATGGCTAGCATGAGGGCTTTTCAATGCCCAGCGATAAGATGCGCCTTTGGGCGAGTGTCTGACAAATGGGCCAACAGCGTAACGAGAGACGGGCAACAGGAAAATGGGAAATGGGGAGCTGGAGATGACCTTGCCACTGGCTAGGCATTTGACGCTTATTTGCAAATACATAAATTTATTGTTCTTTTAGCCTGTTCGCTAAATGAAAAAAGTTTACGCAAACGATGCGCATGACCTTTTAGGTTTCTTTCCAACTATTTGCATTTTGCCATTTGCAGCTCTAATTTTGATTAGCTGCAACAATTTTCCATTTACATCAAATCGCACTTTCAACTCGCAACTGCCAGGGAGAAAAAAATAAAATTGTGCTTACGCGTTGCTTTCTCTTTTGTTTATCTTGCTAGTTGAATGGAACAAAACTGAAAAGTTTTCCTTGTGCTCATTTGCGCTTATTAAAAATACCAAAGTGGACAATGGTGGCCAACTCAGGTACACACTCCTCACCTGCCGTGTGTTCTCCTTCATCTGCCTGCGCGCTATTTCCAGCAGCAGCCGCTGGCGTAGCACATCCAACGGATTGACAATGGACAGCGACGGTTTATTTCGCTTCACCAGGGCGTACTCATCCTGAAAGAAGAGAATAAGGGGGAGAGATCCATTTATATGCATTCATTTTCAACTTCTGATTGCATTCTTAATACAAAAAGTTTTCAAGTTAACAAATGTTTGACTTGGTTAAACAGTTGTCTGGCAGAAATATCAGCACGAATGGCTAATTTATAGAAACTATAAAAAAAATTTTATCAAAGACGATGAACATAATAATACATATAATCAGGAGGAAAGAGAGAGAGAGAGAGAGACAAAGATATAAAAATATTCTATTTCTAATCTGTTTTGCTTTTTTATAATAAAAGATAATATTTCCTAAGATAAAATACCTATCCATAAATTGGCAATAATATCGACAATAAAAAATAAATTTCCAAATTTACAAATTCTAGCAAATCTATGAGCTAAATATTTGTTCTAATATTATAGGGAGAAAGTGAAAGAAAGTTGTCTGGGAGAAATATCACAATGAATGGCAAATTTATAGAAGCTATATAATGAGAAGGGGATATATCTAATCTGTTTTGATTTTTATAATAAAAGAAGATATTTATTAAGAAAAAATGCCTATCCATAAATTGACAATAATATCGAAAACTAAATTTCTAAATTTACACATTCTGGCAAATCTATGATTTAAATATTTGTTCTAATATTAAAAGGAGAAAGTGAAACTCGGAACACATTCAATAATATTCAGATATCTTATCGTGTGCCGACATTCAAATTATTGAATGTCACATTTGTAAATGAGTTTTAAATGATCAGATGATTAATCATTTTGCGTGATAAGTAAGCCCCTCCTCACGCTGATAAACGCTTCCGTGGAACTACTTCACATTTTTCTTATTTTTTTATTTGCCTAATTAAAAAAAAACATTATGGGATATGTTCTCGCTGCTGTTTGCAGGCACATAAATAAATATTTACAATAATTTGCAAACTCGAGCAGCTTTCAGATAACAAATAGTGTAAACAATTCAATGCAGATAACAATGAAAAATTCTAGATGATTTGTGAGTGACTAATGAAAGACAAAATGTAAAGGAATCATGATCAGGGCCAGGCATAAATGTTGAGTGTGGGAAATTCTTTAATGATAAGATAATATGGAGTAATTATATGTAGGAATATATTTAAATTACCATTATAAGATATGGATAAGATATAGTGAGGCACTTAATAGTTATCAAAATAATTTGTATCGATAGTTAGATAAAAGCTCAAATGTAGCTTTATTACAATGGAAGACATTTAAGCTTATATAGAATTATCTTTGTATGAGTGTTATCTATAGTTCGATAAACCTGGGTTCTTTAAAGCTGTCGTAGAAAACTAAACTGATAAGCCTTGAAAAATGTGAACGCCCCCAGCTATCAAGTCAAGCGAATTTTAACGCATTCCGATTGGTAATTCATTATCGATTACTCAGCCCATCCATAGACGCCGCCAATTGAGTTGCGATAAAACCAAATTGAATATGGAAAATAACCGAAGGTTCGAGGTACGATCTAAAACCTTAACCTTGTTTACTTTACAATGGAAAATAACTTGAGGTTAACTGCAACCTTAACCTGTCCAACTCAAGTCACCAAAGCCTGAACCAGTTCATCCTCGAAAGATTAACTTAATCTATCTTTCGAATAAAATAAAAAAATACTCAATTGAAAACAAAATCCCCAAACAAATCAGATGAACACGTATTGCTATACGCAAACCTGTCGCTGGTTAATACGCAATGAAATTCACTTTTTTTTTGCCGTTTTGCTTATCAGACACTATAATTGAGATTGCGATTAGATAACATTTTGTAGTGAATGGACAGAATGTCTGAGAGCCATGGTAACTGCGCTGACAATGACCGCCTGCTTTCTTCATATAAAAGCCCGCTCTATACTCCGAGCCGATTAGTATACATCGAACAATAGCAAAATGAAGGTTCTAACAATTGCGGTATTCGCGGTTCTCTGCGCCGTGGTCGCTGCCAGGCCGAATGGCTTTGGCTGGGGACGCTACCAGGGAGGCTGGGCAGGAAATGCTCAGCGCGGCGGCTGGAATGGCAACGGTGATCAATGGCATGGTAACTCCGGTAGCTGGGGCAACAATTTGGATCATGGACGCTGGAATCGTAATGGGGACAGATGGCATGGCAACTTTGGCGGCTGGCATAGCGATGTGAACGGTTGGCACAGAGACGAGCGCTGGGAACATCATAACAAGCATGAAATACGCACTGGACAGCCGCCAGCACCGCCAAGCACTCCAGAACCTCCAGTGGAATCGGAGTCTACTCAGGCTCCGGTAGAGTCAACGCCTGAAGCACCTGTGCAGTCTACTCAGGCCCCGGCAGAGTCCACCCCAGAAACTCCAGAGAAATCTACCCAAGCACCAGAGGAATCTACGACTGAAGTACCTGAGGAAACTACCCCGGCGCCGGAAGAGCCCGTAGAAACCACTAAGGCCCCAGAGGAACCAGAGGATTCTACAACCGAAGGTTCGGGTGACCCTCAAGAAACCACTCAGGCACCCGATGACCCAACTGAGACTACCCAGGCACCAGAAGAACCAGAGGATTCAACAACCGAAGGTTCGGGTGACCCTGAAGAAACCACTCAGACACCCGAAGAACCAACAGAAACTACCCAGGCACCCGAAGAGCCTGAGAAGTCAACTAAGGTACCCGAAGAACCTACAGAAACTACCCAGACACCCGAAGAGTCTACCCCGGCACCGGAAGAACCTGAAGTGTCTACGAAGGGAACAGAGGAGCCAGAGGAGTCAACCAAGGCACCCGAAGAACCGACAGAAACTACACAGGCACCTGAAGAGTCTACCCAGGCACCGGAAGAGCCTGAAGTGTCTACCAAGGGAACAGAGGAGCCTGAGGAGTCAACCAAGGCACCCGAAGAACCGACAGAAACTACACAGGCACCTGAAGAGTCTACCCAGGCACCGGAAGAGCCTGAAGTGTCTACCAAGGGAACAGAGGAGCCTGAGGAGTCAACCAAGGCACCCGAAGAACCGACAGAAACTACACAGGCACCTGAAGAGTCTACCCAGGCACCGGAAGAGCCTGAAGTGTCTACCAAGGGAACAGAGGAGCCTGAGGAGTCAACCAAGGCACCCGAGGAGCCGACCGAGACAACCAAGACACCCGAAGCATCAACGACCGAAGGCTCCGGCGAATCCGCTGAGTCAACGACCGAGTCGGTGGAGGGCAGCGGATCGGCAAGTGCATAAGTACTCCCTTAGGAGCAGAAGTAGGAATTTAATTATAAGCTCGATGTAACGCGATGATAGCTAAACAAAAAGGCAATTGAAAACCAAGTGTACTGATGGTTTTTTATGCTATTATTATTATGTTATTATAAGTAGTTGGTTTTATTTTAATTATACGATTGATAAATCACATACTCCACATTTTATTTTTGACTACTCTTGAAGAAGGCACTTGAATAGATTAAAGCATGGAATTTGTCCAGACTTTCGATTCGTTATGTCAACATGACATTATCATAATGTCTAGAGCACTTAAGATAACTCACCAAGTAGCTTTCATAAATAAATAAATGTTGCCAGTTGCTAATCCAAAATTTTTAATCGTTGAACAATTGTCAGTTCCGATAGATCGCAAAATGTTTCCAACGTAGCTCTTATCTCAACCAAGCAGCACATAAAACAATAAACCGGGTCCATTAGTCATGCCGTTCGATCGATTTATATTCGCACTGCGGCAATGGAAAACTTTCTACGTAAGCATTTGAATTGCATCAGTTGCGTGAATTATTTGCCCAATGCCAATAGATTTGCATAACCAACTGTATTTAATTCTATTGACCCCGGGGCAACTGTTCAAATAGGCGACAACTGGAGTTGGGCCTATAAAAGACCGTTTGTCGGGGCCAATGCAATTATAAGTCAATCATGAGAGCTATTACATTAGCCATCTTTGCCGTCTTGTTGGTCGCCGTTTTGGCGCAGCGTGGTCCCGGCGGGCAAGGACCACCGGGTCGTCCAGGTGGACCACCTGCCCAGGGACCACAGCGTGGCCCGCCCGGACAGGGACCACCGCGTGGCCCGCCCGGACATGGGCCATCGCGTGGACCTCAGCAGGATGATGATGATAATGACGATGACAATGACGACGATAACGATGATGATAACGATGATAATAACGATGATGATAATGACGACGATGCTGATGATGATGCAGATGAAAACGATGATAACGATGAGGATAATGATCAGGATAAAGATGCTGACGATGATCAGAATGACGCCGATCAGGATGCTTAGAACTTCGAGGCACCAAAGTGCGGCTCCCAACTGTTCCTCTTTCAAAATGTCATTCAGTAAAGAACATTTATTTCCTAACTTCTAATTTGACCTATTTTTCCATTGCCTTTAGACATTGGAGAACTTGACTTTTGAAAATGGCTGGCTTAGAGTATATGTTATTTAATTTTAGGAATCGAATATAGTTGAAGCTGCTGCAATAGTTAATGGAAGTGCAAAGTACAGAGTATCAGCTATTCATCAACATCGTTTCAGCACAGCTTCAGCCCAAATTATTATAAATTGTTTTTAGCAAACTTGCCGCATAAGTTTCAATTTGGCTAAAATGTTTACGCTGCAAAAACTTTTAGCTCGGCCCTAAATAGTTTTCATTGTTTTCAATGTGCGCACAATGCAGCCAAATGGCTGATAAAATATGATGGACCCATGATGGAAAGTGAATGTGAATGAATATGAAGACCACATTCGCAGGTGTTGCGGATCGTGTTTGAGTGGCCCCGGAAGTTGGTCCTTTGAAATGTTCGCCAGCTAAGCTGTCGGCTTGACAAGTGTTGGCAGCATTTCTCCAGGTGTTCAGCTCTATTGTTCCCAGTGGAACGCACACACATTGGCCAAATTAAACGGCATGAAAACTTGAACTTTTCTTGTCAACTTTGTTTGGCGATTTATTCGCGCTGTAAAACAACAAAGCTACAAGTTTTATTTATCTTCTTGTCAAATGTAATAAACAAGGTAATAATATGTTCTGTTTACTTCTTGTTTACAAGTTTTTTTCCCGCCTGTCTAATGAAGCATGCATAAATCGTTATTAAAAAATTTTCCATTGAGCAAATTTAACAACGAACAAAAATAAATGTCGAATCCATTTTTATACATTGACTAATTTGTTTGCTTTACAGGCTTTTCAACAATCTTCTTGTTTGGTCGGTGGTCACGCTTCACGGCCTATCGATAAGATAAGTGGGGAGTATTTGGAAAAAATGCGTCTCGCTTGCCAATAACATTGAGAATACTTCCATTTTATAGAATTTATTGCGTCTCTGGCAGAAATCAAGAGTTACTTCATCGGAAATCCTACTTCAAATCAATTGTCATCACATAAGAAAACTTACCAGGAAACTCTGATGCATTCTGTGAGAGCTAGTTAAACAAAATTGCGATAAGATACTTAATTAAATGGGGCTACTGAAAGCTAACTTATATCAGAGATATATTTACCAATCAGATAAAGATTTATAATAGGCTTTGCAACCACGACATTGATTATTCTCTGACTAAAATAGTTGTAAAGCGGACAATTAAATGTCTTGCAAAAATGTTTAAAATAGTTAGCCTTTGATTTTGATTTTTTCTTTAGCCAATAATACTATTTGTGAATAAAATTTTGTTTCCAATTTTAATTGAGCAAGTCAAAATATTAAATAAAATTCATACGCTAACCTATTGGTTATAGTCTATGAATTTTTAAGGATCTTACGTATTTGAGAAGTTTGCCTAAGAATAGGAGATCTTGTCTACTGTTATTCAAAATTCCAAAAACTTTTATAAACTTAATCACATATTTTAATAACTCTATTGCTATGACTTTACTATATACAGGGTATATTATGTATAAGGTTGTATTTTATTTTAAATGATTTAAATTCTCGGTTTTTCCAGTAAACTTTTAAAAAGGGAATGCGTACAGATAAATGCTCTGATGGCAACATCAAAGCATTTCTCAATTTTTTGTTCACCTTTAAAAAGTCAAATGAAATATGAGACCGAAACGAAAAAACTGTCACAAAAATGAGCGACAACTGGTGAAAGCCACAAAAGGCAGGTGAACGAGAATGAAAAGTTGTTGTGGCACAACTTACTCACCTGTACGGCCTGTGCATCCAGATAGTCCAGCGGATATCCGTTGGCATAGCCCGCCCCGCCAGCTGCAGCTGCTGCTGGTGTTGAGCCACCGCCTGCACGACCAGCTCCACCGGCACCGCCGCCGCCACCCGCTGCCGTTGTCGCCGCACCCCGCTGTGCGGTACAAACGAGCCTCGTGGCGCTGAGTAAAGTCAATAGCACCGGGCAAAACCACGTTGTGGCTTTCATCATTCTGCAATTGAACAAAAATATTTAAAAACAAAAATGTAAATAAATAAAAACAATAATATTTGCATGGAAAATCAACGGATGCATGAATCGGGCGATTAACAGCATGCCGACCCACAAATTGCATAAAATTACATGAAAATTTAATTTCATCGTTTCGTTTTTGAATAATTGCATACTGAACCGACCCTGACTCATCATCTGGAAGCATCATTTTTTATGTTGTGCAAAAATCTAGCATCAAAATGCATAACTCTGTAATCTATAAAATATAAATGCATACCTGAAATGTAATACAATTTTTTATCAAAAATGTTTGACGGGTCAACTTATCAATTAGATTGCATATTCGATAGAAAATTTTTCGGAAAAAATACGAATTAAATTTCAACAAAATTGTTTATATTTGGTCTGTAAAATGAGATTTCCTGAATTTCAGTTTTTTTCTTATAGAATATTAATGTAACCTAAATCATATCAACTTTTGCGAAAATATTGCTCCAACATTTCTTAGTCTAACTATTCATCCAATCGATTTTAAGCCGATTATAAAGAATATCTTAACACCTTTAAATAAGGTTATTTGTTTAAGCAAACTGCATTTTATCGACCTAATTTCCTTATAATTTACAACCAGCTTTAAACTAAGAGGCGGATTGATTATCTATTTAATTTTTTTTAAATTACTTTAAATAGCAGCCATATTTTTATACCCGGAACCCATTGAAAATGGGTAAAAAGGGTTAATGTATTTGTGCAAATGTAACAGGCAGAAAAGTAAAGTATATATATTCTTGATCAGCATCAACAGCCGGGTCGATTTAGCCATAACCGTCTGTCTGTCCGTCCGTCTATCCGTCCGTCCGTCCGTATGTCTGAACGCAAGGATCTCAGAACCTATTAGAGCTAGAGAAATTTGCTTGAAATTTTAGATGTAGGTCCTCCTAGGCCATGCGCAGATCGAGTTTGTTTCCGATAATCGATAACTTGCCCCTTTTTCAAGTTATCGATAAAAATCGAAATCCTGTTTTTTGAGCAATTTTGATAAATAATAAGAGCTAGAGTCATCAAACCTGACATGTAGCTTCTAGAATAGAATGTATATATCAAGTATATTTCATTTTATAGCTTTCGCCACCTCTTACTTGTTATTCTTACTTGTTATTCTTAAAGAACTGCATAAGACTTGTAACAATTCGATTTACCAGTTCTGACACCTACACATGTTGAGCTCTTCATAGCATTTATTATTTCTTGCGCTCTCTCGCACAACAACAGTTTAGAGCGTAATTCAAGGGCAATCTATCAACATCAGGGAATATTTATTGTTAGAATATAAATAAAAAATATATAAGCACGCAACGTATCTGGACTTTGACATTGATATTGCACGTTGCAAGCGTGTCGGGAATATGTGAGAAACGCTGCGTGGAAAATACGCAACCTTTTGACATCGTGAAGTGTACTTATAATTTATGGCTCATGCACATGCATGACCTCTTCTAACCCCACATTCAACGCTGAACTGAACACTTCAAGCTGGATGGACTCGCCAAATGACTTTGCCCAGCGACAGCGAAACATAAACGTAATGTGTGGAAATAACATAAACAGATGGAAGGATCTGACGAGCTGCGGGGCTGCGGGGCTGCGTTTGGGTTGAGATGAAGATGGACACGTGGCGCTCTGGAGCTGTGAAGTGTATAGAAACTGACAGAATGAGGCATCATAAGGATGCAGCTAACCAAAGGGACTCCATTTGTGGCCACAGGACAATTTTTGTGCCAGCTCGATTATGCAAACGAGAATGAACAATTCGCTTTCGGCTGCCATAGACAAAATACCCTTCCGCCCTTTTAGAAAAAAAACTGTCTGAAAACTTGGCCAAATCAACTCGACTTGTCGTCGTTGCCAGCTCTTATGCGTTACACATTGCATGACAAACTGATAATAACCCACGGCCAGAGTATACAAAAGCTCAAAAGTCCAATGACTTGAAATTGGCTTACAATTTCCGCTTGACCTTAGAGCAGGAAAGAGCATACATCCCAAAAGTCTTTCGATATCTATAAATAGATGCAAAAACCGTGTAAATACAGTTTTGCAAGCGCTGCGGCGGTGGCGAGTGCCTATTTTTGCAGTCCCCCAAATGGGTTGGGCGCTTGGAAATTGATTTTGCCTTCACTTGGTGCCCACTGTAAGGTCCTCTCATTTATTCATCGTCACATCCTTTAACTATTTTGATTAGCTTTCAGCAATGTTTATGAGGGCTCCCATTGACGCACAAAAATATATATTTTCCTGTGACCCGCATACACATATTTATTAATGCGCTTTGTTATGGCCAGCAAAAAGCTTTAATATTGTATAAAGTGCACTCACTTTCTATACATATAAACATATCTCGAGTTTAAGGTCCAACTGTTAATTGAAATTCGGCCAAATGTCAGTCTCAAGTTATCGTGCGTCATCTGTCTGTTGGCTGCTCTTTGAATTGTCATCAAATCGAGATAAGTTCTTCTTCTTTTCTTTTCCTTTTCAATTATAACATGAGATTGCAGCGTGTACTTCGTGGCGTATACGCAACGGGCCTTGTGTTCAGTTTCTGTTGCATACTTTTGGGCGCACACAGAATCCTTTTAATATTATTCATTTAGTCAGATCGCTTGGCAGCTGGCTTGCGATTTATAATATAATTTTGCGTAAATATAATGATATTTTATAGATAAATGGCATTTGTTAACAGACAATACGAAGTTCTTTAGTGAAATGAAATAATTAGTTCTGATAATTTGAAATTATTGTGAGAAGTGAAATTGACATGCATAGCATATAATTTCTCACATCTTTTTGCACGCATTAAATAGATAGTTTTCGAAAGGCAGGGCATCTTTTTTCTTGTTCTTATTTCTATCACCTTTGCTGGCGCCCCTTCCCTGTCAAACACTGAGCTCTAGTAAAGCTGAGCTGTCAGCGTAAGACTTTGGCGCAAATCTCTGGATGTTTAACTATTTGCGAAGCTTACGACACGCCCACGAGACATATGTAAGTAACTGTAATAAGTGGCAGCAATGACATTTGGGATTCGGGCAACTGTCATATTTGGGGCCATTTCATGTGCCAGGATTTGCGAATGTTGAACAATATTCGAATATTGAAATGTTGACAGCAGCTGCAGGTGAGCACAATTCATAGATGTGCGCCAATACTGCCTCCCCCCCTCTCAGCGCCTCCCGCGCTCTATTGAAGCCAAAAATGTTGAAAAAAAAACATTCGGCGGCAGCCTAAATTGAAATTACATTGTTAAAATGCCAGCATATGAAAATGGCTGCATTTGAAGTTGAGCAAATAAATATATTTTGTTTGAGCGTTAAACAATGCTTGGCATGGTATGGCCTAATAAAAACTGCCCTGCCCCACTGTGTGCCCCACCTGCTCCACCCCTCTGCCTAACTTTTCGATAAATAAAGGGACTGCCCCACTGAGAAATCGTGATTGCCTGCAGCGATTGTGCCTATGAATTCGCTCGCTTTTATCTGTGCTGTAAAAACAGCAACAACAACAAAAGAGTATGCATAAAAATATAAAATAATTCATATATAAAAATATATAAGAAAATAAGACAGCAAAAGTCTCGTTGTCTATTTGCATTTAACATGTATGCAAATAGCTGCGAAGTTGGGCAAAAGTTTTGGTCGATAAAAAGATTTTTACGAGCGAACAATTTGATTTGCCCGCTGATCCATGGTAAATAAACGAATGAGTGAATAAATGAGCGAATGAATGTTTTCACTGCTGCTCAATGTTGTGATTCAATTGCAATGCTGTGATTCAATCGTATTGTCAGCCCAGCCTAGCGGGTATGCTAGACTAATCAAATATCCCTTGGCAGGCAGAAGATTCATTTCAGACTATTTCCAATTCTTAATAAAGTGCAATTCTGGTATACTGCTATGTTAGACTAGAAAAAATACCCATTAAAGTTTCGTTTATTAGCTTTAATAATTTAATAGTCCACAATTAAACGGGTATTTACGACTATTTAGATATCCATTAGCATAAAGGTATACAACAGAAACATATAATGAATAAATGAATGTTTTTGTTTAATGACTAGCACACATTTAATCACCTGCAGTCGCGTATACCCTCGCCAGAAAGTTTAACAGATATTGAATATAATTTAAATATCCTTCAGCAACAAAAAACAATACACTAAACTAAAGGTCTATGTATTAATCTATGGTGCAATAGCCGTCCAATCTGCTTGCACTCTTTTCAATCGACTATTCACATACATGACATTACAGAATAAATGTTTTTGTAATTATTATCAAATAATACCCTCTATAAAATATACCAGGGTATACCATATTCGTACCTAGAACATAAACCCTACACTTAAAATGCACAGCAGCGAAGATTTTAAAATTAAATCAAAATCGAATTGGAAATGTTGCCGCAAGTCCTTCAGTTACGATCTTAAACCGTCTTTTATGAGCGCCGACAAACGTGACCTATCGCCTGGCTCTTCCTGATGGGAATAGCAGGACGGCAAGTTTTCGTAGCCAATCAAAAGTGGAAAATTCTCTTCAAATCTTGTTTGCAATCTATTAAATTACAGGCTCAGGACATACGACGACAGGACGAGCACAAGGAGCCGTAACAGAAGTTGCCGAACAAAAGTGAAAATTGCATAAAGGGAAAAACTAATTAGCTGGCTAGTGTCTTCTATTGAGAATCTGTCAACTAAACAAACCATTAATTCCCGCCTTTTATATGAAATTAAAATTAAAGGGCATACCATATTTTGACTGTGAAGTTTAATTCCATTTGGCATTTTCTAAGTCGCTTTCGCTCGAACGTGCTGCGATTCTATACATTTTCTACCACCAGCAAATTAATCGCCAACAAATAATGAAATTGGCCAATGTTCCTTTACCAATGGACATCTATAAATTAAGCCTCAAGCATAATTAATTGCAAGTCATTTTATTTAACTGATGCTTTCTTTCGGGCTAAGCCTTGTGCCTCAAACAAATGTAAATTGGCATTTCATTTAATGGCTACACAATGCACACAAAAGTTGAAAATGTTTAATATTTTTTTGAAATGTAACATCTGATTAATTATTAAATGTAACTTCTTTTAAAAAAAAGCGATTAAACACGTTCTCAATTCCTAAAAGATTTATTTGATGTACTCACAATATTTAATACTTGATTTGTTTAAGTATTTTCTATATTTAAGCAAAAGTATTCGAATTCTTTATCAAACTTTTTAAGAACAGTTTATATTTTGCGTGATTTAACATAAGTTTATCATAAAAAAAATTATACAAGTAATTTTTTTGCTGCTTTCTTTGATAAAAAAATCTTCCTCTACTTATTCTAAAAAAAATCTGCTCAGCAAAGATTAATTTAAGAGTTTTTCTTGAGTCTTTCTTCTTAAAGCAATCCATTTTTTTTTTCAAAAGTTCTCATCTGTAGCTTTTATTCTAAACATGACAAGAACTATGTAAGCTTTTTGCTGATTTTAAAGAATTATTAAACTTTTTTTTAAAAAACTTTCAACTCTGATTTACTCTTCTTCACCTTTTCACCAATATATTACTTGTTTTTAAAAGATTTTTGCTGTTTTCGAATAAAATTTCAAATTAATTTTTAAATAAAAATAGATTCGATTGCTGATTTATTCTTTTCCACAATTTAAGCGATATTTTATTTCTTTACACGATTTTTGAAATTCATTTTAATTTAATTAGCTTAAATATAGTTAATTTATAGTTTATTTATCGAAAATCTTTTCAAAATATGTAATTCCTTTTACCCACCAGTTATATCGTTGATATGGACTAATCCACCAAAATGCAAATCGTCTGCTTGATAACGCGTTAAATGACACCAAAATGCGATTAAGTTTCGTTTCTTTTATTTGTTTTGTGGCTGTTTGGTAACAATTTTCTCACATAAAAACGTTAGCACCTTATCAATTTGGTAATTGGCCGGGAAAATAATTCGTTTGATCTTAACACTGGGTAAATATTTATGGTTTTCAAGATTTGCGACTTGCTGGGCCTATTAAATTGGCTCACAAATTTTATTTTATGTGCTCACGCGCGACGGCACTTAAACCAAATGAGACAAGAGAGAAAATGTTGAAATTTGAATATTTTGAGTATTTCTTATTCGCACAAAAATTTATTTTGAAATTGAAGTTTTAATTGGGTGCCATAAAGTAGGTCTTAAGGACCTGCTGCTGTTCTGGTGGAGCTGGGCTTTTTATTATTATTATTTTTTTGTTTTTTGGGCTGTGTCCGAGAACGCAACAGGCTGACGACGAGCGAAGAACTCAGAGCTCGAAGCGTACGACGCTTGTTTTTATAATGCGAGGCAAGGACGCTGAGCGCTGCACGAAGTGCCACAGCACGAAGCCGAGCAGCGACAACGACGACAGGACGAGCACGAGGACAAGGACGAAGCCTCAACATTTCGCCACGCGTCTAGTTATGAATGAAACCATGCGGCACGCACCTTCGTGGGTGGCTTCACATGTTGCCCCAACAAAAAAAAAAAAAACAAAACTCTGGACAATGGCAGTTACAGGTACGAAATTTCGAGCGTTCGAATGTTGCCACAGGAGCTACCGGCAACATGTTGCAGCAACATTTAGCCACTGATTTTTATTTGTTTTTTTTCCGCGTCCACTTTGTCTTGTAATTATCGAACTCAATTAATATTTAATGAGTTTTTATTTGCACGTCAATTGTTTGTTTTCCTTTTTTTAGCCGGTCAAAGGGTTCGACATGGAGACAACCTTATGGCCATTGTGGCTAACAGCTTTTGGCGGATCAGCGTTCAGGTGTGAAATTGCACGTCCGTCATTTTTGTCTCTGAAAAAAAAAATAATCAACAATTGGTATGTGATAGTATAAAAGTGTGAGTACTTAAGAGTTGATCTTTTCATGTCGAACAATATAACAATATTTTTAAAAGGTGGTTTAAAATTGTTGTACATATAATTGTAGATGTGTATTCTTATGTTAAATAACCGCATTTTAACATATCAAAATTTTGATGCTTTTTATCATACAAAATATATTATTTAAAAGAAGAATAGAAGATTTTCTATCTTAATCGTGACTTGCCTTGTGTTCAATTTCAACAGCTACGTTTAAATCTAAAAACACACAAAAAATAAAAGAAAATATAACTTTTTACCTTTTAAATGGTTTAATTGAATTTTACAAGAAAAGTACTAATAAATCAGAAAGAATATTCCCCTTTTTTTTCGTATTGCAGACGATTTAACACATTTAGAGCAATTAAATTGTTCTTGAGGGAATCTCATTTATAACTCTCTTTGGAATTCTCCTCGATAGCATTGTGCACATCTTTCAACTTTTGCGTTTTTATCACTTTTATGGGCTCCGTTCCGATTTAACCTTTTGCTCAAATGAATTGTCAAAATGTCGCCGCAACAGTGTTGCCACCATTCATCAAAATGCGAATCGCATCGCCCTCCCCCCCCCTCCCCCTTACCAAGCAACTAGCGGAGTCCTGCCTGTTGCTCAACAGCTTTGACATCCGTTTTAATCGCTGTCAATGCGTGTCCGGGTGTAATTAAACACGTGGGCCGAATCATGTTACCCGTTGCCAACGCCAACTGCTGCTGCTGTCCTTTGTGTTAACCATTTGCCTTGCCGGCTGATTGAAATCTGTCAAAAAGTTGCTGACGCTTTACAGCACTGACTGCCACTTCACATATGGCGACCCTTAGAGTGTGTGTTGGAAATGGTTATTTATTATGGTAATCTGATGTCGTTAAAGCAGAGAAAAGTAGTTATCTATAATTGAGTTGTAAACGGCTGAGGAAATACTTATGTGACTAGATTGGAATAGAAAGTGACGATCAATTATAGATACACTAGCAATAGCTGAGGAAGCTAATGAAGTGAGTATTTTAATAGGTTTGGTAATGGCAGAGTGGGTAAGTTGTTAAAAAGATGTGAACTGACATTAAGAGGATTGTCAAGTATCTTAGCCCTACTTAAGAGCGCAATAGAATAAACAAATGCAACTAATGAATTGAACTCAAGCTTACTTTAAGCTTTAATATGGTGTCAAAACATTTCGAACTTTGTGTTGTATAGTGTAAAAAGTTCTCCAGAAGCTTTTAGGTGCTTTCAAAGCATCTTAAATGCATAAAAATACTTGTTAAACAAAATCATCTTAAACAACCATAGTATCCAGCCAAAATGCCCCTTAAATATAAGCTAGAGATAACTTTGGCACATTTAACTAAGCTCCTGCAAGTTGTAATCCCTCAATACCCTCAGACAAGCTAAACTTTGCCAGCTCAAGTGGTGTCAAAGTTAAACATTTTCATTAGCCTGGGCCAACAATTTGATCGTCAGTCAATAGCCGTCGAGCAATAACAGAATCATTAACACCGATGAAACACTCGAGCTGGCTGAGATAAACTCATTAACATGTTGATTAAAATCACGACAAAGTTCAAATCCTCGCGCCCAACCATCATTCGAGTCTCAATCTTTTGTTTGATTTGCGTAATAAGTCAATGGGGGGGGGGGGCCTTGGCGGATTGGGGGCGACAATTTCTAATTGCGCAGCGTCGATTTGACAAGCGTTTAAACGGTAAACGTCACTTGGCTCAATTATGCGTGTTAATGTGGCCCCTCGCATCCCCCTTCGCAGCCGCCAGTCTCTGTTCACAGTGTCAAGGAACCTGAGGGTCATCTTGACAGCTGCTGTCGATAAACTGAAGCAATTATTAATTTATGACATGCTCCCAAACTGCCTACATAGCATTTCATATATGAATAGGGTATAATTGATTAACATTAAGAATTCAAATTCTCTGAAATTATCTACTAAATTTCAATATCTCAGCAGAGATTAACTGCTTAGCCAAATCGGTTGCAAATCTTAAATTGACTTTGGGGGCTTCTTTGTAATAACGAATTGTTTCAGGCTCAAACTTTTTGTATAGTTATTGCTATTGCCTGCATAAGAAGCGCCATAAATGAAACCGAGTTACAGCCAAGTTAAGCAAAAACAGGCAACGAAATCGCCTCCAAACTTGGCCGAAAGCTAAGCAAAATATTTTACTAAGAAAACCACAAGAACAAAAAGCAAAAAAAAAAAGAAAAAACTTTTCTGCTTGGACAGCAATTATTACAGCGAATGAGTTTCTGGTTTAAGCAGCTATCAAAGGGCTTGGCGCTTAACTTTTGGCATTAACTGTGACTGAAATATTAATGGTGCAGTTTCTGGGCATGATTTTGATTTTGTTATTTAGATGAACAGGTGGTCGTGGGATGTGAATCGCTGAACTATGCGCAAATTTTGGTTAGCTTTTTGTGTGCAGCCAAAAATTCGTGCAAATTTATTTGCATTTGCTGATTTTTATGGAGCAGCTGCTCGTGACAGCATGCCAGGGCTGCCAGATGGATGAACACATGCACAAATGCAGGCGAAAAGCTGGCGAATATATTTCACAGACATGCAGTTGTCAGTGTGTGTGCGTGTGTGTTTGATTTTTTGCGCCGATTTTGGCGTTGATTTGTTGTTGGGGGCGATTAAAAATACACACACAAGCACACACGCACCTACTCACAATTCACGCCCACTGTGCTAAAGCATTTGTCAACTGTTTCGCCCCTGCGGCCGGTCCAAACTTGATTTATGAGCGCGTTGTGATATATGTATGCAGAAATAAGCCAGAGAAATCAATGAGACTGGATTTGGGTGCGTGGATGGGGTACGGATTGGATGGCACAGCAGGGTATGGGCCCATTTTGCTGCGCCTAATTGCATTACTTGGTTAATTTCGTGTAGAGCTGGGCGATTTATAGCTGCGCACTTAATGTCATTATGATAGCAACAAAACTAGGTCATACGAACCCTTTAATTTGAAACAAAGATAAACTGGTTTTCTAGACTCTATGAGTTTTTAGTTAAATTCGCGCGAATTCTCTTCGTTCAGCTTACTGCTAACTGTTGAGCAACTGTTGAGAAGGCATCCACAAACCAAATGTAGAGGGCGCCAGTCAAATGTCGCTTAGCATCAAAATGATACAATTTTGCTTAGAATAAGCTGAAACTGACTATTTATGTTTATATATTTAATTATTGACATTATTAGCGTTAGTTGTAAATTAAATTGAAATAGGCAAAAATTAAGAACAAAACATTAACGTATCGTGTTAAAATTAATATAACGATGTATCATTCTTATCGATATATTTATCTGCACTAAGCAAGCACTATAGAGATGAGAGTACCTCGCCTTCAGTGTCGCAGTGACAGCTGCTTTGTGATTGCACTCATAAATAAAACATTGTGCATGTAAACAGTTATATGCTCAGAAGATTAAATAAAATAATTTAGGTGGATCTTTCACATTTATACATAATCGCATTTTGCCAAGTTATAGTAAGAATCTTTTAGCTCAAACAGTGACCCGCAACTTTGCGTCACCAGCGATAAGTAACAGTTACATAAATGCTGCACATCTCTAGCGCTTTCTCATCGCTAGGAAAACAAATATGGCGGAACGCAAATGCAAAGAAAACTAAAAAAATTAACTAATTCGCAATCGCAAGCATCATTTAACCGCGTACAATGTACAATTGCTGAGCATATATAAATCAATAGCTCGTACTGTGCGCTCTCTCATGTTCGTATGTGAGTTCGTTTGTTGCTGCAATGCGATTTGCACAGTCAACACAAATACAAATTTGTTATTACGTGACCTCGAGAACGCCGCTAAAATTAAAATTCACAGAGCCGTGGCAAAAAGTGTTATTTTACCTAAAAACGAATATCTCTGATGCAAATGCAACACTGCGTGAGCTAAATGCGTCATTAAGATGCAGATTAACTGATTAATAAGGGTGGAGTGAAGGTAAAAATATAAAAATAAAAAGTACGCGGTAAATAAAACGAAAACAACGCAAAAATGTCTGGCGGACGCGACAGCAGCGCAAGCGCCAGCAGCAGCAACGGCAACAGCGCTGCCAACTCCAGCACACCGCAAACGCCGACGCAGCAGCGCGCCCGCGGTCGTCCGGCTAAACGGGCGACATGCACCTGGTGCGGCGAAGGGAAGCTGCCGCTGCAGTACGTCTTGCCCACACAGACGGGCAAAAAGGAGTTCTGCTCGGAGACATGCATCGCCGAGTTCCGTAAGGCGTACAGCAAGGGGGCGTGCACGCAGTGTGACAACGTGATACGCGAGGGTGCGCCCAATAAGGAATTCTGCTCCATGATGTGCATGAACAAGCATCAGAAGAAGAATGGGTCGACGCGGCACAGCAGCGGTGGTGGTGCAGGCGCTGGTGGCGCTGCAGATGGTGAGCGCAAATTGCTGAGCAGCGGTGCGCCGGCGCCCACGGGTCCCTTTCAGTACGAGAGCTTTCATGTATTCGACTGGGAGGCCTATCTGGAGGTGAGTAGTGGTTGCTAGCAGCTG